TTCATTTTAACAACCCTCAATAAACTATGCATTGAAGGAACATACTTCAAAAATAATAAGAGCCATATATGACAAACCCACCGTCAACATCATACTGACTGGACGAGCTGGAAGCATTCCTCTTGAAAATTGGCCCAAGACAAGGATGCCCTGTGTCACCATTCCTATTCAACATAGTATTGGAAGTCCTGGCCAGAGCAATGAGGCAAGAGAAAGAAATAAAAGGCATCCAAATAGGAAAAGAGGAAGAGAAACTATTCTCGTTTGTAGATGACATGATTCTGTATCTAGAAAACTCCATAGTCTTTTCCCAAAAGCTCCTTGAGCTGATAAACATCTTCAGCAATGTTTCAGGATACAAAATCAATGTAGAAAAATCACTAGCATTCCTATACACCAACAACAATCAAGCCAATTGTGAATGGGATTGCTTTCCAATCAAATCAGGAAGGCAATCCCATTCACAATTGCCACAAAAAGAATAAAATACCTAGGAATACAGCTAACTAGGGAGGTGAAAGATCTCTACAATGAGAATTACAAAATACTGCTCAAAGAAATCAGAGGTGACACAAACAAATAGAAAAATATTCCATGTTTATGGATAGGAAGAAACAATATCATTAAAATGACCATACTGCCCAAAGCAATCTACAGATTCAATGCTATTCCTATCAAACTACCTATAACATTCTTCACAAAACTAGAAAAAACTATTTTAAAATTCAAATGGAACCAACAAAAAGCCTGAATAGCCAAGGCAATGCCAAGCAAAAAGAACAAAGCTGGAGACATGATGTTATGTGACTCCAAACTACACTACAGGGCAACAGTAACCAATACAGTACAGTACTGGTATGAAAACAGACATATAGACCAATGGAACAGAATTAGAGAGCCCAGAAATAATACTGCACACCTACAACCATCTGATCTTCAACAAAGCTGACAAAAACAAGCAATGGGAAAAGGACTTCATCCTTAATAAATGATGCTGGGGTAACTGGCTAGCCATATGCAGAAGATTGAAACTGGACCCCTTCCTTAGGCCATATACAAAATGCAATGCAAGTTAGACTAGAAACTTAAACGTAAAACCTAAAACTGTAAAAACCCTGGAAGACAACCTAGGAAAAACCATTCTGGACATAGGAACTGGCAAAGATTTCATGATGAAGACACCAAAAGTAATTGCAACAAAATCAAAAATTGACAAATAGGATCTAATTAAACTAAAGAACTTCTGCACAGCAAAAGAATTTATCAACAGAGTAGACAGACAACCTACAGAATGCAAGAAAATATTTGCAAACTGTGCTTCTGACAAAGATCTAATAGCCAGTATCTATAAGGAATTTAAACAAATTTACAAGCAAAACCAAACAGTTCCATTAAAAAGTGGGCAATGGACATGAACAAACACTTTTCAAAAGAAGACATACATGTGGCCAAGAAACATTTGAAAAAATACTTAACATCACTGATCATTAGAGAAATGCAAATCAAAACCACAATGAAATATCATCTCACACCAGTCAGAATGGCTATCAAAAAACAAACAAAAAAACAGATGCTGACGAGGTTGCAGAAAAAAGGAAATGCTTATATGCTGCTGGTTGGAGCGTAAATTAGTTCAGCCATTGTGGAAAACAGTGTGATGATTCCCCAAAGAACTAAAAATAGTATTACCATTCGACCCAGCAGTTCCATTATTGGGTATATACCCAGAGGATTATAAATCATTCTACCGTAAAGACACATGCACGTGTATTTTCACTGCAGCACAATTTACAATAGCAAAGACATGGAATCAACCTAAATGCCCATCCATGGTAGACTGGATAAAGAAAATATAGTACATCTACAACACAGCATATGAAATCATGTACTTTGCAGCAATGTGGATGGAGCTGGAGGCCATTGTCCTTAGCAAACTAACACAGGAACAGGAAACCCAATACCACATGTTCTCACTTATAACTGGGAGCTAAATAACGAGAACTCATGGACACAAAGAGGGCAACAACAGATACTAGGGCCTACTTGAGGGTGGCGGGTGGGAGGAGGGAAAGAATCAGAAAAAGAAATGCCTGTCAAATACTATGCTTAGTACCTGGGTGACGAAGCAATCTGTACACTAAACCCCTGTGACACAAATTTACCTATTTAACAAACCTGTAAGTGTACCTCTGAGTCTAAAGTAAAAGTTAAAAGAAAAAAATGTATCTATTGACAAAAAAGAAAAAGGGAAGAAATCAGAGGAGTTTTTATGAATGGCATAATTAAGAAGAGCTTTCAATAAAAGCCAAGCATCAAATTACCCTAATATCTAATGACTGGTAAAAAGAACAACTACAAGACACCAATGAAAAAAAATTGAAGAGGATCAGAAGAATTAATACTGTTAAAATGACCATACCATCCAAAGCAATCTACAGATTAAGTGCAACCCGATCAAAATACTAATGACATTTTCACAGAAATAGAAAAAACAATCCTAAAACTCATATAAAACCACAAAAGACCCTGAGCAGTCAAAGCAATCCTGAGCAAAACAACAACAAAAAAACAAACCAAAGCTAGAGGCATCACACTACCTGGCTTCAAAACATATTACAAAGCTATAGTAACCAAAACAGTATGATACTGGTATAAAACAGACACACGACTAGTAGGACAGAATAGAGAACTCAGAAATTAATCCATGTATCTATAGCCTACTGATTTTTCCAAAGGCATCAAAAACATTCTGTGGGGAAAGTGCACACTCTTCAGTAAACAGTGCTGGGAAAACTGGGTTACCCTTTGATATCATAGCCTTGGTATTTGTCTTGAGGAGCGTTATAAGAACTCTTATAAAATGTATAATTTCTGTATTTGCTTTGAAAATTGTTATCGGGAATATTATTCATTATGTTGTTCAGTTGTCTTATGTTAGGTCCCAAATGAGAAACTTTGTTTGGAATTTAGTTTTGGAGGAAATCCACTTATTTCTTTAATTTATTCATTTGACAAGAAAAACCAGGAAGCTTATACCCACATGAGTGTGTCATCTCTGTAATTATATTTACCTTTGTGGTTAGGTATTTTAGGTATTTACTTTCTGTGACCTTGACATTTTTCCTTTTTTGAGCTATACCACATATGTTCTTTGCTGTAAGTTATCCTAAATCCATTCTATGCCCTTTTATTAGAAAGGAGATAGCTTATGTATTAAAAAACAAATTAATGAAATGAAACTATGTGGAAATCAATGTAGGTTTGTCTACATTAAATTCCAAGTTACAAAGCCATTAAAACATAATGCAATTCCCAGTTTCAGTAGAGATTTATTATAGATATATTTTAAATACTGAGTTCCCATGCTATATTTACAGTATTCTTATTTTATATTCAGATGTTCCAACCTTACTATTCCATAATGTGGAAGTACCTAGAGTGCTTTACTTTGATATGCGCTATTATGCCCATTTTGTTACTTCAGTTTTCAAATAATTCAGTCAATCACTCTATAATTGCAGGCAAATAGGAATACATGTTGCTATATGCAGCCTTATGAAGTTACCATTTGCATTCACTGTAAATGGATTCCATCTCCTTGGTCTTGCCCTTCTATTGGGGGAACCCACCCCCGATAATTCAACATTATTTCACATAGGTTCTTTTCTATTTCCCTAAGTGTTGGCCGGTCTGAGAAATAAAGGGAAAGAGTACAAAAGAGAGAAATTTTAAAGCCGGGTATCTGGGGGAGACATCACATGTCAGCAGGTTCAGTGATGCCCCCTAAGCTGCAAAACCAGCAAGTTTTTATTAGTGATTTTCAAAGGAGAGGGAGTGTATGAATAGGGTGTGGGTCACAGAGACCACATGCTTCACAAGGTAATAAAATATTACAAGACAAATGGAGGCAGGGCACGATCACAGGACTGAGGCAAAATTAAAATTGCTAATGAAGTTTCAGGCACACATTGTCATTGATAACATCGTATCAGGAGACAGGGTTTGAGAGCAGACAACTGGTCTGACTAAAATTTACTTAGGTGGGAATTTCCTTGTCCTAATAGGCCTGGGAGCGCTACGGGAGACCGGGGATTATTTCATCCCTTATCTGCAACCATAAAAGACAGACATTCCCAGAGCAGCCATTTTAGAGACCTACCCCTGGCAATGCATTCTCTTTTTCAGGGCTGTTCCTTGCTGAGAAAAAGAATTCAGTGATATTTCTCCTATTTGCTTTTGAAAGAAGAGAAATATGGCTCTGTTTTGCCCAGCTCTCAGGCAGCCAGACCTAATGGTTATCTCCCTTGTTCCCTGAACATCGCTGTTATCCTGTTCTTTTTTCAAAGTGCCCAGATTTTATATTGTTTAAACAATTTGTGCAGTTAATGCAATCATCACAGGGTCCTGAGGCAACATACATCCTCAGCTTACAAAGATGACAGGATTAAGATTTGAAGTAAAGACAGGCATAGGAAATCACAAGAGTATTGACTGGGGAAGTGACAAATGTCCATGAAATTTTCACAGTTTATGTTCAGAGATTGCAGTAAAGACAGGTGTAAGAAATTATAAAAGTATTAATTTGGGGAACTAATAAATGTCCATGAAACCTTCACAATTTGTGTTCTTCTGTCATGGCTTCAGCCGGTCCCTCCATTCGAGGTTCCTGACTTCCCGCAACACCCTTCCTATCATGCATCCTGTGAGTGCTACCTGCCAATATTAGGGACATTCCTCCAGTTTTGCCATTAGTGTTTAAAGAGCTAATGAATTACTGTGAATTACTTGTTACACTGTTTCTTAGAAAAACATAATAGAAAGGTTTTGTTGTTGTTTTTTGTTTGTTTCATAGCGATTAAAAATAAATAAATCTCCTATGTAGAAAATGTAATTATGTCTACAGTCTGCCAGAGTGATTACTTAAGATTTGTCATAATAATTAGTTCTTCTCATTTTATTTACTCAATACAACTTTTAAAATACTTACTACCTTCTTACAGATGGTTAATAGTGAAAGATTCCTTTTTACTGTATATGAAACCAGACAGCGGTGCCATTGCCTTCGTCCTGCTGGTAGACAAAGAATTCAAAATTAAGGTGGGGAAGAAGGAGACAGAAACGAAATATGGAATCCGAATTGATAATCTTTCAAGGTACAAGTTTCAAATATTTAAAAAAGATTTCTACAAAAATATCTTAAAAACAATTTTTTCCTTAACCTTAAGTAAAAAAGGAGTTTAAAAAGGGTTAGAAAATTGTAATTTAGAGCTCATCCTCAATCAATGTAATGAAACCACTTTTTTCCTTGTATATATTTTAAAGAGTATCCTGTGTGTAACAGAGTCAGAATAAACAATCGCATATGTAGATGTTTGCCTATGTTAACAGAAATTACTACTCAATTTGCCAGTTTACTAAACAGATAGATTAGAGCTATAGTTCACATTTTTAAAATAAATGAAACCTTTACTTTGTAAATCAATATTCTTTAATTAACAAAACACCAAAAGAGTGATTTGATTTATAAAAATTGTTACACACATATTTTAAGAAAGATACCTTCTTTTTCTCTGAGACAGGGTCTCACTCTGTCACCCAGGCTGAAGTGCAGTGGCGCAATCTCTGCTTACTGCAACCTTCACTCACTGCAACCTCCATCTTTCAGGTTCAAGCAATTCTCCCACTTCAGCCTACCAAGCAGCTGGGACTACAGGCGCCCGCTGCCACACCTGACTAAATTTTGTATTTTTTGGTAGAGACGGAGTTTCACCATGTTTGCCAGGCTGGTCTCGAACTCCTGACCTCAAGTGATCTGCCCTCCTCGGCCTTCCAAAGTGCTGGGATAACAGGCCTGAGCCATCCCACCTGGCCAAGAAAGATATCTTGAAAGGACACTCATGTACATTTATTTATTATAGATTTTATTAGTGAATACATGTGTATGTGATCTTTCTGGAAGATTGTAGTTATATCATGTATGTGTGTCTTTATACGTATATATCCATTTGTCTCTATATAGTTCATTCACCATCATGTATATGACTATATATGCATTTCTCCCTGTACACATACACAACATAGCTTCATATTCCCTTACTAATTTACATATTTGTGTGTGTGTGTGTGTGTATGTGTGTGTGTATAAAAAGATGCTGAACTTCCTGATGATATTCTATGAGAATGGAACATTTAAGATTGTGACTGGAAATATAATGGTGCTGCCATTACACCTTCCTCCTGCATTCCTGTTTTACAGTGAGCCACAGAAGTCTGGCCACAGTTCTCATTGGTCCCTTACTTTATTGGCCACTTCATCTGCATTTCCCACCCTCGCTTATTCGTATGTCAATGCCAAATGAGGCCATTCACATCCAGGTTTCATTACCTTCCTTCCTGGTGTAAGATCCCCCCATGATTTTATCAAATAAGGCCAAATTTCCCCACTTACTTTTGAAGGGCATTTATTTTCCTTGGTTTATTTGAAATTCCTCCCTAATGTGCCTTGCAGGTTCTATGGAGGCAGCATTTTTTTCTTGCCTCTTTCCCTTTGCTTTTCTTATGTCCATGGTTGGAATAGTTCTTTTTTTCCCCCTTGATTCTGACTCACATCGTGTAATAATGTCTTATCTTGTTACTCGTCTCTTCTGTAAAGTCATCTCGTAACTGTTTTTCAGAGGCTTTTTAGGTCAATTGGAGTAGTGCTTGCAGGATGGGTCAAGCCCAGGCACCTCCTGTGCCCTCTCGTCTCCATCCCTAGAAACCCGTGCCTCCTTTACCACACGCGATGGGGATACTTCACTCCTCTCAGCTCCACCATGTCTCTCCTCCCCTGTCTCCACAGCCCAGCAGCAGCAGCCTCTCCCTGGCTTCATGACTTTCAGACAAAAGCCAGCATCTACCTCTGACATATTGAGGAAAGCAGTTTGGACATGGTTTATAAATAATTCTTTTAGAATCTGTGAACACAGCCCCCTTCCCTGCTTCTCATCAGGATCATTGCATTTCCTCAAAAAAGCAACCTCCCTCCTCACCCATAGTCTTCTTACACTGGGATGGTGGTAGATTTCTGCCTACATGGCAGGGATACAGCTGGCTCCAACACTCTGTTTTCCTTCAAACTTCAAATTTGGATAACTTATTTTTCCCTCTTAGTAGTAGGCAGAATTCTGACACTTGGCATTAAGAAAAAACTTTCTGGAATCCTTTCTGAATTTTTTTTTTTTTTTTTTTTTAGCATTTATAACTCTGTAAGAGTTTAGGATCGTTTAGTTATGAGTGACAGAAAAATCTAAAGCAAACTGGCTTATACCAAAGAGAACTTATCAGCCATGTTGAGCGTGACTGATTCCCTTGTGGTAGCAAGATGGCCACCTCCCACACTCACACCAAATTCTGTGGAAGCAAGAGAGTCCCTCCTGGCATTCCTGAGCAAGTCCTCACATTTGCTCAGAAATGGCTGAAAGGAGGTTATAGGAATGGATGAACAAATGGACATGAGTATCCTTTTTTTCCTGATATCAATATGTTTAATTGATTATTATTGCAAAAGAACAGTTTTCCTGGCCAGGTGCGGTAGCTCACGCCTGTAATCCCAGCACTTTGGGAGGCCAAGGTGGGCGGATCACAAGGTCAGGAGTTTGAGACAACCTTGCCAATGTGGTGAAACCCTATCGCTACTAAAAATACAAAAATTAGCCGGGCATGGTGGTGCTTGCCTGTAGTCCGAGCTACTTGCGAGGCTGAGGCAGGAGAACTGCTTGAATCCAGGAGGCACAGGTTGCAGTGAGCTGAGATTGCACCACTGCACTCCAGCCTGGTGACGAACAAGACTCCATCTCAAAAAAAAAAAAAAGCCAGCACGGTGACTCATGTCTGTAATCCCAGCACTTTGGGAGGCCGAGGCAGGCAGATCACCTGAGGTTTGGGAGTTCAAGACCAGCCTGACCAACATGGAGAAACCCGTCTCTACTAAAAATACAAAATTAGCTGGGCGTGGAGGTGCATGCCTGTAATCCCAGCTACTTGGGAGGCTGAGACAGGAGAATCACTTGAATCCGGGAGGTGGAGGTTGCAGTGAGCTGAGATCATGCCATTGCACTCCAGCCTGGGCAACAAGAGCAAAACTCCATCTCAAAAAACAAAACAAACACACAAACAAAAAAGAACAGTTTTCCGACGATTAATGAAACAGATAACGCACAACATATTCATGCCAGAACCACCTTCTGGGACCAGGAAGATGGAATATGCCATTTTGCTTAGCTTTGTTGAAGAGAAGGGATGGCTGTCATGAAGCACAATTGGGATGATATTTCCAGAAGCTGAGGGAATGGATACTAGAGGGCACAAAGGGAAGTGTCCTCTAGAGCAGAGATCCCCAACCCCCTCGGGGTGCCAGTCCATGGCCTATTCAGAAGTGGGCCGCACAGCAGGAGGTGAGCAGTGGGCAAGGGAGCATTACCACCTGAGTTGCAGTCTCCTGTCAGATCAGCCACAGCATCAGATTCTCACAGGAGCCTGAACCCTATTGTGGATTGCACGTGGCGCGGGATCTGGGCTGCACGCTCCTCATGAGAATCATGTCACCTCGTGATGACCTGAGGTGGAACAGTTTCATCTCGAAACTACCCCCCATCATCTGTGGAAAAATTGCCTTCCACAAGCCTGTCCCCAGTGCCAAAAAAAGTTGGGGACCACTGCTCTACAGGAGCCAACAGCTCTCTAACACTTAAAAGTAGATCCTCACCTTACCCCTCTTTCTTTATCCTCCTCATGGCCTAGCACGCAGCTCTAGGTCTATGGTAAGTATCTTTATGCATGTTTGCATGAGTTAATGAATAAGTAACCTGAACATTTATTTTTTTTATATTGAATATATTTCTAGAAATACTACCAAAAAATGTTAAATGCCTGCTTTCTTCATGTTCTTTGTCTAAAATTTTCAGTTTATGTTTGGTATACTACCAAATAAAAAAGAGCATGAGATAGAACAGAGTGACTACTCTTTTCAACTTTCTGCTTTCTCTTTAAAGGACACTTATTTTAAAATGCAACAGCTATAGACATGCTCGCTGGTGGGGAGGGGCTATAGAAGAATTCATCCAGAAACATGGCACCAACTTTCTCAAAGATCATCGATTTGGGTCATATGCTGCTATCCAAGAGAATGCTTTAGCTAAATGGTAAGTTAGTTATTACTGCTCTAAGCCTGCCAAGGCAGTCCTAGCATCTAATATTACACTGTCCTAAATTCACCTGGAATCAATTTTCAAAACTGTGAAAGATTATGCATTATACTTAACAAGGCTTCTCTTTTTGTGATAATTATGGGACTACCTGATTATATATTAGTTTTTCAATTGTTGCTTTTAAGATTTTTCATGGTGAACTTAGCTAGCTTTAGAGTTTGAAGTTTGAATTTTAAAGCTAATTTCATACATTTCTTTAATGATGCAAAAGAAGGTTTATTTAAGTCATTAGCCCTAATTTAGGAAAAAGCATTTACTTGCTAGATATTTCTTTTAAATAAAGTCATGCTTAGCATGTTTTTCTCCCTGTGGATTGGAAGCTAATTTGTTTTCAGTGTCAGAAGAAAAACTGTATGTAAGTTCAACAGGATAGGAGAATTCATCTGGCTCCTTATGATGATGAGGCTCAATAAATTTGTTGTTCTCTAAGCAGAGAAAAATCAGGCTGCTTACCACTCACTGCCCTTCCTAGGCAGCAGAGGAAACTTGGTATTTTCAATCCTTGTTTTGCAGGTACACAAAGTCAATGATGATTGTGTGTTATGTGGAGACTCTAGGCAGTGGCTTCCATGTTTTGCTTTACCATAAAATAAGTTTCTTTTCTTTTCTTTTTTAATAACAAAAAAGAACAATAAACTTGTCTTTCAGGTATGTTAATGCCAAAGGATATTTTGAAGATGTGGCAAATGCAATGGAAGAGGCAAATGAAGAGATTTTTATCACAGATTGGTGGTTAGTATTTGTCCCTGGGAATTTTTTCTGGAAGTTTCTATGTTTAGAAATGTACAGTGGTATAGTGCTGTTCAAGAATTACACATATGAAAATCAGCAGTATCTATGGATGGTTTGGCCAGAGTCTCAACCAATTGACTAAGCCTTCAGTGAAAGGCCTTTTCAAAAACCTTGGCCTCAACAATACTCATAAAATACTTAGTTTGAACAATTAGGTTTTATATTTGCATTTGGAAGCAGACTTCCATGTGTTCATGTCAGTAAAGATTATGCTGTAATGCAAGTCCACTTACAGAGGTAATGGTGTCTTTGGGTGTCTTTTTCTAATTTTGGTATGTCTGTCATGAGGGCCAGTGAGTATACTTCTTCTAAATTGTCACTTTGATGTTGAAATAGTTCCACTTGCCTGTTACTGTAAAAATATCCTCTGTAATGACTAGGCCTCGTCAGCTGTTCTAGAGATACATCCGGTTTCAACTTTGTGACCACCTTAAAAAAGTGTCCATAAGAGTTGCTATGCTTATTAAAGTCACCAGAAGCCTCATATCTGAAACTCATTTAGCTCTTGGGAAATTTACTCCTGTAGTTGGTGTAGGCATTCTAGTCTGACTTCAGTTCCAATCATTTATCTGCCTGGAAAGCTAAAACCCGTTACACATGCTAACACTGGCTATGATGGAAATGAAAATGTCTAAAATGTGTTTTCCTTCTAGGAACTTATTAGTAGTTGCCTGAATTGCCCCTTATCCAGTTTTCTTCCAAAAGGTACCTTACATGAACTGTTAATATATCATCATAATTTATTCCCTTCTAATTCTAGGTTTTGTGGGCAATATCAATATCTAATTCAAGAATGGGAACACATCTTTTGCTTCAGTTGTCTGGAAATCTATAATGCTAAGGCATGCTTTCTTAACCTTGGCCCTGTTGACATTTGGGGCCAGATAATTCTTTGTTGCAGGGGGCTCTCCTATGCATCGTAGGATGTTTAGTGACATCCACTAGCTACCAGTAGTAAGTTCCCAGTTGTGACCACCAAAATATCTTCATCCATTGCTAGATGTTCCCTGGTTGGGGTTGGGAGAGGATGCAAGATCCCTGTCGGCTGGGAATCACTGATCTAGAGGGGATAGACGGGGTATGTGGTGGCCAGCACGCTCATGCTTGTGGAGGAGCTTAATTCTGGTCTTTCTATTCTTGCCAAATTTTCTCTTTTCAGTCAGTTACCAGGAAGAAAAAATGTTTCATACTTAGGAGCTATTTATTTGGTTGAATAGTTTATAAACACTTGTGATAATAAATTTGTGCCAGTGAGTACTATATTCTTTAAAAAAATATTTCTGAAAGTTTCGTGAAGATGTGAGAGACTAAAAATAATTTTTCCATTGAGTCTAGATTTTCGTGCTTTGTATCTGAACACCAAAATTTTTTTAACTTTTAAATTCAGGGGTACAATTACAGGTTTGTTAAATAGGTAAACTTGTAGCATGGGAATTTGTTGTATGGATTATTTTATCACCCAGGTGTTAAGTCTAGTACCCACTAGTTATTTTTCCTGATCCTCTCCCTCTACCCTTGAAAGGCCCTAGTGTGTGCTGTTCCCTTGTACGTGTCCATGTGTTCTCATCATTTAGCTTCCACTTATAAGTGAGAACATGTTGTATTTGGTTTTCTGTTCCTGTGTTAGTTTGCTAAGGATAATGGCCTTCAGCTCCATCCATGTTGCTGCAAAGGACATGATCTCATTCTTTTTCATGGCTGCATTGTATTCTGTGGTGTATATGTGCCACATTTTCTTTATCTAGTCTACCATTGATGGTCATTTAGGTTGATTCAATTAAACATTGTATACAGAGATGGAACCCTGAATGTTGTCCTCTCTACTTTCAGCAAGAGAATGAATTGGGAGGTTATTTATTTTTTCATGACTGCACTAGGATACCATTTTATTACAACACATCATTAGAAATAAAACCTTCACAGTAACTTCTCTCAAACAAGTAAAGAAAATTCTTGTTGTACAAGCATATTCCAAAAGGAGCATTCAGAAACTTAACCAAACCCTAATATGCGTAGACCTGAGAGACTGGGGTTATCTACCACAGTCTCTGTATGGAGTCTGTATGTTAAATGTGTCAGAAATAGGATTAAGAAAACAGGAGAATACAAAAGAAAAATCAATGAACAGAGATTTTTAAAAGAGGGATTTTGTAAAGGGTAGAGAAACAGAAGAGACAAAGGTTGAGCTGGAGACAAAGGTTATAAAGAAAATAAATCAGCATTGCATTACTAACTGGCTCGCAAACAGAGACTATTCTAGGTAAAAGAATACATGTTTTCAATGTATTTAAGTTGGTTTTAAATGCAACTTTCTTTAAGTTGGTTTCAATATTGTTAGTGTTTTTCAAATGATGGGTTGAGCCTCTTTAGTAATTGTTTGTTAAAATAATTTAGTATGTTGTGACCAGTATTTTTTTTTTTTAAAGAATGGCATAGGATAGGATAAGGAAGGGAAGGGAAAAGAAAGGAAGGGTACAATGTAAGTGGTAATAAGGGCTACTAATTTTGGAAACTTTTATTTCGGTTGTAGATAGATAGATAGATAAACAGACAGACTGACCGACCGGCTGTTGGTTTGGGGTATAATGTATTTCTGTCTGCAGTTTATGGTCCAAAAGTTTAAAAGTTTGAAAGCCACTGACTTTCAAAAATGGTTAGTAAACTTTTTCCTTAAAGAGCCAGAGAGTAAATATTTTTTTAAGGTTTTCAAATCATGTACGGTGTCTGAAGCATATTTTTTTTTTACAACTCTTTAAAAATATAAAAACCATTCTTAGCTCACAGGCCATGCTAAAACAGTCTATGGGCAACATTTGACTTGTGAGCTATAGTTTGTTGACACCTATCTTAGAAGATAGACTTAATTCACCACATTTTATCAATACTAAGAGCTAAATGTAGTGTTTTCCGAAGTTGTACCATTTTACATTTTCACCAGCAATGTATGAGAGTTACAATTCTTCCACATAATTGCTAGTCCTTGGTGTTGTCAGTCGTTATTTCAAAGGGTATACAATAGTGTTTTATTATGATTTTAGCTTGTGTCAGGAACATCATTTCACATTGAGCAAATTTTCATGTGATATTTGGACATTTGTTTAACTGTTCAAATTTTTTCCCTTTTTTTGAGAGGGAGATGTTGTCAGTCTTCTTGTGTAGTTGTAAGAGGTATTTGTACATGCTAGTTAAAGTGGTTGTCCCATTTCACTCTGGCCTCCATTCTTTCTGTTGAGAAATTCTCTGTCACTTGAATAGATTGTTCCCCTCTAAGTAATGTGTTATTTTTCCTCTGAGTGGTTTCAATATTTTCCTTCTGTCTTTAGTTTTCAGCAGTTTGGTTATGATGTTTGTGTTTATCCTATTTGGGGTTCTCTGAGGTTCCTAAATCTGTAGTTTTATATCTTTTGCCAAATTTAAGAAATTGTTAGCCATTATTTCTTTACACATTTTTTCTGAACTTTCCTCTTTCTCTCCTCTTTCTGAATCTCCAATGACACAAATAGTGTCTTATTTATTTGTCAAATTCATTGACTCTTTCCTCTATGACAGGGTCCCCAACCTCCAAACCAAACCAGTCTCCAGACTGTTAGGAACCAGGCCACACAGCAGATGAGCCGGAGGTTGTAGGGGGAGGTAGTGAGCATGAGAATTACTGCCTGAGCTCCGCCTCCTGTCAGATCAGCCGCGGCATTAGATTCTCCTAGGAACATGAACCCTATTGTGAACTATGCATGTGAGGGATCTAGGCTGCCTGCTCCTTATGAGAGTCTAGTGCCTGCTGGCCTATCTGAGGTGCAACAGTTTCATCCAGAAATTATTCTTCCCCCTCATTCCCACCCATGGAAAAATTGTCTTCCATGAAACCGGTTTCTGGTGCCAAAAAGGTTGAGAACTGCTGCTCTATGATCTCCATTCTGGTATGGAGCCTATCCTGTGAGGTTTGGGGGATTTATTGTTTGCTTTTGTTTTTCTAGTGTTTTTGGTAATTGTGTTTTTCACTTTGAAAATTTTTGTTTGGGCCTTCTCTATATCTTTTTCTGTAAGACTTTTTTTGTCTTTTCATTTTAGGAGTGTTCACCCTTACTTAGAGCATTTTTATAATATCTGACATAGCCTTAAGTAGGTAATTTCAATATCCACATTGTCTTGATATTGACATCTGCTGATTCCCTTTTCCATACAAGGTTAAGATTTTTTTTGTTGTTGTTCTGGTTCTTTGTGTGCCGGGTACTTGTACTGTATTCTAGAAAATTTTATTATTATGTTATAAGACTCTGAGTCTTGTTTGGATCCTGTGGAGAATGTTAGTATTTTTGTGTTAGCGGGCAATTTACCAATTTCAGTTCAGGCTTAAAGTTCCAACCAGCCTTTTATGAGTGTTGTTTTAATGTCGGTTTTGTTGTTAATGCCTTTGCGGTGCTATTCAGATCTGTCCCATATGCTTGCCACCTAGTGGCCAGTCTGAGACTTGGATGGTGGTCTGTTCCTCAGTTCAGTTCTCAGCCTCTTTGGTGTGATGTTTAGGATGAAATCCATGCATAGACAGCTTGGGAGTGAGCCAGAAAATCAGAAACAACTTTATGGAGCTGCTTTTCTGAGCTCCTCTCCCCTGTTTTTAGTTTCCCATGGCTTCCCTTTTTAGCCTTCTAGCCTGAAAGATGGGTTTTTATTTACTGTGCTCTGCCATGTGCTTTCTCTGATGGCACCCATGTCCAGAGCCAAGCCAGGTGTATTTACATCACCATTGGTGAGGAAATTTCCCCTGCCTCAGAAGTTTTAGTACCTTTGGGCTCTCCACTGCAGCCCTGTCACTACCAGAGATCCTTTTCATTCTCCCCAAGCCTGAACTAGAGGATTTTTGAACTTCTCTCTGTGCCGATGCCTGTTTCCAAGTTTTCCCTCCAAGTCAAGGAATCAAAGGGGGAAAAATTGTTAAACTTATCACTGGCTAGGTGGTACTTCAAATTCTGTTCTTCTTTTTCTCTATTGAGGCTTCCACTTATTTAGCTCTTATGTAATTTTTCTCAGCAATATTTTGTATTTTTCTAGCTATAGGTCTTATACATATTTTGTTAAAATTTTCACTGAGTATTTTATGTTTTTTGATATTATTGTAAATGATATTTTAAAATTCATTTTCCATACAGAACTAGAAATGCAATTGATTTTTGTGTATTTACCTTATAGCTTGTGACCTTGCTAAATTAATTTATTAGTGCTAGTAGCTTTTTTGTAGATTGCTTAGGATTGTCCTGTAATGATTATATGATCTATGAATAAAGACAGTTTTACTTCTTCTCTTCTAATCTGTATGCTTTATATTTTATTTTCTTGCGTGTTGCATTGGCTAGTTATCACCAGTAAAATGTTGAATGAAAGTGGTGAGAATGAACATCTATGCCCTGTTTCTAATCTTCAGAGGAAAGCATGCAGTTGTGTTATATTATGAATGATGTTAGAGATAGATTTTTTATAGGTACCCTTTATTACACCGAGGAAGTTTTTTTCTATTTCTAACTTGTTGGGAGTATTTATTGTTAATGGATATTGAATTTCTTCATTTCTTCTGCATTTGTTGAAATAATAATATTTTTCTCCTTTTTGTTGTTACTGTGGTGAATTACATTGATTGATTACCAACTTTTAAACCAACCTTGTATCTTAGGATAATCCCACTTGATCATTATTTTTGTAAGTTGCTGTGTTTTTGGTAAATATTTTTACTTCTGTGATCATAAGGGATGTTCTTTAGTTTTCTTTTCTTGCATTGTCTTTATTTGGTTTTAGTATGAGGAGAATACTGACCTCATTAAATAAGATAGTGAGTGTTCCCTCTTTGTTTATTGGAAGAATTTAGGTAGTACTAACATCATTTCTTTCTTAAATATTTGATAAAATTCAAATATTTAAGAAATTCTGTAAAGTTGGCAGAGTCAGTAGTTTTCCCTTTGGGAAAGTTTTAATTACAGATTCAGTTTTTCAGTAGCTATGAAGTCAGTATCAATTTCTTTTTATTTTCATTATGAAAATATTTTATTCAAGGAATATGTTTATTTTATTTAAATTACCACAAATATTGGCATACAGTTATTTTTAATAGTTATTATTCATTTAATCTAATTTAATGCCTCTAGGCCCTATAGTGATTCCCTATCTTTCACTCTTTTTTTTTTTTTTTGAGACAGGGTCTTCTTCTGTTGCCCAGGTTGAAGTGCATTGACATGATGATGGCTCACTGCAGCTTCAACCTTCTAGGTTCAAGCAATCCTCCTACCTCAGCCCCCCGAGTAGCTGGAACTACAGACATAAACCACCATGCCTGGCTAATTTTTTAAATTTTTTCATAGAGACAGAGTCTTACTATGTTTCCCAGGCTGGTCTCAAACTCCTGGGCTTACACAGTCCTCCCATTTTAGCCTCTCAAAGTGCTGGGATTATAGATGTGAGCCCATCCTTTCAATCATTTTTTTGTCATGTTTTTTAGCCTTGCAAGAAATTCACAAATTTTATTGATATTTCAAAGAGTCAACATCTAGTTTCATTGAATTTTCTCTGTGTTTTTTCAGTTTTATATTTCATCAAGTTCCGCTCTTATATTTATTATTCCCTCATCTTCTTGCTTTGAGTTTAATATCTTCTTTTTCTGTCTTTTAAAAATGGAAAGTCTGATCAATAATTTTTAATTTTTTGTTTTTCTCATGTAAGCATTTAAAGTAATTAAATCTTCTAAGTGGTACACTTAGAGGTATGTTTTAACATCTCTGAAATCAGGAAGCATCTTACGCTCTTACAGTTACAGTTGTCATGATTTTTTCTTTCTTAGTGGTACATGCAGTAACGATGCATCCTACAATCACTGGTGTCCTAGATTCAATTAAATGTAATATTAAACAATAACTTTGTTTACAAGTGAGTAAAGACCCTTACATAATAATGCTTGGTAAGTTATAGCTGCTTTCTTCTTGCTGTGCAGCCATGGTTTATACTTTGTTTATAGCATGATATAACAAAATCTTTTATTCTTTTTATGTGTTATCCTCAAAATTGAGGGCTCCTTGAGAGCTATCTTAAGATTCTTCAAAGTAGCTAGTGGAATGCTCAGCATACAAGGGTACACATGTTTGTGGATTAAATGAAATAAATGATGATAAAGACTTAATTGCAGGGTATCACATTAAAAGTCTCCCCCAAACTGAAGCTCTTTGAGCCCATATTTAATGTATACATCAAAAAATTGCAATTGTGTATATGTTGTTGGATATCTCTCATTTTTGGTGAACTAGCAGTGGACAGCAATGCATTTTACTATTTTAAAGCAGATTTCTTTTTAATGCTTCTTTGATCTTTTCTGATCAATGCTGTGCTTTATTTGTTTGTTTGCGTGTTTGGACATAGATTACTTTTGAGTTTGTTTCCTACTCTAAATTAAATATGCCAGTACTTACACTGTCCAAACTCTCCATTTGTCTGTTTCTTTATTTATTTTACCCAATAACGTTTCCTTTAGAACCTTTATCTCTGGGTTTTTATTTTCTTTAACTGAATGAAATAGAGCATAACATTGATTTCTTTTAATCTCTTTACCTTCTTGAAGCACTGTTGATTTCACATGCTTAGAGGACTCCCTGGGAGGGCAATACTCCAGTGCAGAATTCCATAAGACTTTTATCCTGACATAGTCTACCCCTGCTTCCTCAGGTCTAGCAGTTCAGTGAAGAAAGGGATGTTTTCTGCTGCTTCTTTTTTCTAACAACAGGGAAGTTACAGCATGTACATATTTAACTCAGAAACTAACTTTAGAACCCAGCCCCAGGGGAAAAATGACTCTATTGTACTCTTAGCTGCCTTGCGAAGCTTAGCTTACCTTAGCCGCCTTATGCCTTACTGAAGGAGAAGAGCCTAGGAAGAATTTCATATGTCAGCCGACCTTCCTTCTCCCCTGTCCAGAAAGCCCAAGGTTCCCTCAGACGCTGCTTCTTTGTGTATAGGAAGTTAGTGTGTCTGGGTATCCATTAGAATGCTTTTAGTTTGGGGTAACAGAATGTTCAACTAAAGAGGGCTTAAACACTGAGGATTTATTTTTCACATTTAATGTTAGTCTAAAGTTGGGCAATTCTGAGGTTGGCAGAGTGGTCTAGTGATTCTGGGGTTATGGTCTTCCCCTTAGAATTTCAATATTGCTGCACCTCTGTAAGCATCATACTCCCAGACGACATCCATCCTAAAGCTGGAAGTGTGGGCAGGCTTTCTCCGAGAGAGGGAGAGAGAGCGAAAGAGAGGGACGGGGAGAGAGAGAGAGTGTGTGTGTTTGTGTGCGTGTTTCAGGGAGGAAAAACTTTCCCATTAAGCCCCTGTGTACCTCCTCATATATCTCATTGTTCAGGATTGTGTCACGTTGTGCTCTAGCTGCACAGGAGTCTGGGAAAGCAAGTATCTAGAATATTCAGCGTCTGTGGTGGGAGAGAGGCTCTGACAGCAGGGAAGAAGTTGGAGATTGTTGGTGGGCAACCAACAGTATCTGCCTGTGTGCATAGCTGTGCATGTGGGTACGAGACAGAGAAAGAGAGGGGGAGAGAGAGAAAGATAAACTAAGATTGATGTTTTGTATGGCTAAAGGCTATTTTTCCCATATGAAGTTATACTTAGACTCATAGTATTAGTTATTATACCTAGACTCATAGTATTAGTTATATATTAGACTCATAGACTCATACCTAGACTCATAAAGCTTTGGATTACCTACCACAATGGAGGATGATAATGGCATTTGGGCTGAAATTGCCTTTGCTTCCTATGACACAATCAGAACTTTATATTTTGTTTTAGTTACTTGAAATCTTGGTTTCATTATTTCAGGCTGAGTCCAGAAATCTTCCTGAAACGCCCGGTGGTTGAGGGAAATCGTTGGAGGTTGGACTGCATTCTTAAACGAAAAGCAGTATGTACTTTCCCAGAAAATGCTGATATAATTTTTTAACTGTCTGTTGTCTCTGAAATGCTTTTCTTTTCAAAGCCTTTCACACTAGAGTGAACTTTAGAGTTTGACAAAAAGTAGGATAACTAATGTTTTTCAGTTCATTTGGTTCTATTTTTTTCCTATTGCTTTTGAGTGCATAAATATTTTAGACTAATTCACAGCATGGATTATGTTAGCATCTCTAATTTTTATTTTTGAATCAGTTATGGGCAGTTAATTTTATAGGCAAAAAAGTTATAATAAAATTTCATCATTGAATAATAAATGATTAAATGGAGCATAACATTTAATTGTATTCATTATTTTGTCATTTAAGCAAAAGAAAAACTCATCTGGAGAATGGTTTCAGCTAGATGGGGCTAACATGGTGTAGAATAATATTAAAGGGGGAGGAATAGTCACAGTTGGTGGTGTTTTTGCTCTAGTTTTGGTAAAGTTCATGGTAATAACGTGAACTGTTTCCTGTGGAGTTGACCCTGTACATTCTGGGTGAACATTGAGTGTGTGCTTTTTAGGTATAAAACGTAAATAACTGAAGCAGTCTAGGCTCACTAATGACTGCATTGGTATTTCTAGTGATTTTTTAATGTAATAGGCCCTCAACAAAATTAAATCAGTTTAAATTAAAAATAGACCTGGATTTATTATTTAGCATGTCCAAATTGGAAAGTGCTAACTTTTTGCTGTTACCAGAAACTGTCTTAACCTTTTTTTTTTTTGAGATGGAGTTTTGTTTTTGTTGCCTAGGCTGGAGTGAAATGGTGAGGTCTCAGCTCACTGCAACCTTTACCTCCCAGCTTTAAGCAATTCTCCTGCCTCAGCCTCCCAAGTAGCTGGGAAAGTGCCTGCCACCACACCTGGCTTTTTTTTTTTTTTTTTTTTGCATTTTATTATTTTTAGTAAAGACGGGGTTTCACCATGTTGGCCAGGCTGATCTTGAACTCCTGATCTCAGGTGATCTGCCCACCTCGGCTTCCCAAAGTGCTGGGATTACAGGTGTGAGCCACTGGCCAACCTTTTTTTTATTCTATCATTACATATGCTGGCAGAACATGTAGAGCCTAAATAATTGAGGTTAGCATTTTTCTGTTTCTCATACCCTTCACTCATTTCTTCTTTCCTATCCTCTACATTTCACTTTTTCTTTCCCCATTCACTTTCCCCTTTTCTCTCTGTATCTTTTCCCCATACATTTACTTGAGTATTTCTGGGGATATCCACAAATATAGTCAGACCTCTCTGCTAATATTGAAAGCAAAAGAAATTGATAGTATTTATTTGAAACACATTCTGCCAAACAACATCATTTTGATGGATAGTCTAGTTTGTTTCATCAATAGAATTCCAGTTACAGAATTGGACATTTTGATTCTGAAAACATTATTCACATATTTATTAAATAATTCATCATACAGTTACTGTCTCCTATGAGCCAGCTTCTATGGTAATCACTAAGAATGCCACCATGAATTGGATTTGAGCCTTGACAGTGGAGAACTTGCTGAGGGAGGGATTCATGTCTTGAGCTCAGTCCTAGCCTTACCAGACTACTTTCTACCTATTGAATGGGCAGTAACTTTCTCTATGTTTCTCTCAATTAAATGGCATCTTTACCATTTTCCCTCAAGATTCTGTTTTAGTACATTTTTCCAGCCTTGCCTAGCAATCTGTACTAATACTAGTAAGTTTTTTGCTTATAATATGTAATCAACACTTCACTGTTTTAGGTTTCCATCAATATGTATTTATTGAATGTTTTCTATGTGCAGGTCATTTGGCTAATCATATGAGGATGTACATAAATAAAAGCTATTGTTCTTAAGTTGAGGGAGCTTATAAAATCTACAGAAGTATCAGTTACATACAGAAAAAAATGCCTCGATTTTATGGCAAGAGGGAAAGCACTGGGCTTTCCCAATGGAAAAGGTCCAGTTGGGGAGCCCCTCACGACATGAAGGATGTGGGGCATTTAGGATGGACAAACATTTTTAAAAGGGAAAGAAGAACTTTCTGGGTGTAGTAAATGTAAACAGCAGTGCCAAAGACTTTGTCAGGCACAGCAGGGTGGTTAATCCCATCTGCGTGTTAGCATAGCCGGATGGGGGATTAAGCTGGAACTGCTCATTGCAGCTAGGATGCAGAGGCTTTGTGAGCAAAGCTAGTGGTTTGACTTTATGGGAGACAGTGGAGGCAGTACTGTGCAGGACAGGGCAGTGTGGGGAAGCAGGGGTGGTCTGATCGAAATGATGTGTCAGACCCCGTCTCTACTAAACATACCAAAAATTAGCTGGGTGTGGTGGCGGGCGCCTGTAGTCCCAGCTACTCGGGAGGCTGAGGCAGAAGAATGGTGTGAACCTGGGAGGTGGAGCTTGCAGTGAGCTGAGATCACGCCACTGCACTCCAGCTTGGGCAACAGAGCAAGAATCTGTCTCAAAAATAAAAATAAATAAATAAATAAATAAATAAACAAACAAATAAGATGTGTTGGGAAGGTGATTCTGATAGTGGAAGAAAGTGGGAAGAACTCTGATTCAGAAAGCTAAAGTTTAGATCACTTGAAGGTACAGTGTCTACAGGACATCTAAGTTAACTTGAGAAAGCTAGTAAATGCCTCGGCAGGGCTCTGGAGGAAGATCCTGCAGGCCTGGCTTCCGCCTCTTGTTTGCTGGCATGCGCTTGTTTATTGCCCTCAGCATACCTGTTTGGTTACCTTTTCTGTCTCTAGCGTGACTTCTCTTTACTTTTATGGCCCATGAACCCTGGTGAGGTCCCTTGTGAACACCATGGCCAAATAAACGTTATTGTCTGAAAACAGTGCTTCATTTCCATTTCATCCACTTCTTGGAGCTTGTAATTTTTAAATTGTGGGTAATGATATTTTAAATTTCCTAAAGAAATAGTAATACAATTAAAGATTGATTTCTCGGTGGTACATTTAGTGGAGTTGCTCTTCCTTAATCTCCTTCCACCATATTATTACTTTTTACTCATATTTACTGAGTGTTAAATTTTTTACCACTCAGATCATTCCAAATTGACATTTTATATGCACATAAATACGGCTTCACATAAATAAATTAGTTTCTGAAAGCTACACACTAGCTTTGCAAAGTATGAGGTTGAAACATAATGTTTGTTTTTTGCATTAACAGGTCCCAGAGGTCCACAAGATTTATTAAAATGAATGTCTTATTTTCTTCTATCTGATTGTGCAGAATTTCTGAGAGGAATTTAGAAACTGTCTCTGCCTCATAGCCAACCTATGGCAAACATCTCTTATAATGGCTATTTTTTAAGAAAAAAATACAATATTTTATTTATCTGATTAATAACCAAGTTGAACTTTTCCTATTTCTTTGGCCTTCTGATCTGCAATGCCGTCACTTAAAATAAAAGCCAATCTTGAGAGGCAGACTGTTCACAACTCAAAGAAATCAGCATCTCAGGGCTTTCCACAGTTCTGCACTTGCTATACTAAGAGGTGAGATAAGCTGCATCACAGTTACGGCAACCAAATCCCCACACGCAGTTTTGTGTATCTCAGCCTTAGAAACTTGTGATATTTCCTATAAAACTTAGACTAATGGGAGAATTTGTCTTCAGGTTGATTTCCTTCTGTCCTGGATCACAAGGCACAATGTAGAGTTGCAGTAAGTGATCAATAAAAGGGAAAGTTGTCCAGGACTGAGAAATGACAGGAATAATCACATCTCTACACAGATTCTTATCACATCTCTACACAGAGTCTTATCAAAGTGGTGGGCTACAGTGGCTTGCAGGGAAGGTATCTTCAGCTTCAAGAATGAGCTTCAAACAAAATTGATGTGTCGGACCCCGTCTCTACTAAAAATACAAAAAATTAGCTGGGTGTGGTAGCGGGCGCCTGTAATCCCAGCTACTCGAGAGGCTGAGACAGAAGAATGGCGAGAACCCGGGCTGGGTTCTAAAGTTAGTTTCTGAGTTAAATATGTACATGCTGTAACTTCCCTGTTGTTAGAAAAAAGGCACATGAGCTTTTGTGCTCTTATATCCCAATGTTGCCTGCTTTTAAACGGTGAAGAAATGATTTCTTTATACCCTTTACTTTCCATTTTCTTAATATATTATACCCCTTGGGGAAGTCCTTGGCAAGTGACAAAAACATTAGTGAGCATCCTGGGTTAGGGAGTGGGGTGGGCTAAACTGTCTTCAGGCAGTGGACAGACTTGGCTCATTTAGAAAATATTTTCACTCTGCTACCTTGAGCAATCGGAGGAAAAGCTGGCTAAGAAACAAAGTCACTGATTTCCACTATAAAAATGTTCTTTTCATTGTCTTCCCATGTATTTTGAATATCTAAAGCGCCTAAAAATGTCTACTGTTTATAGTGTTATGTCTGCTCTACTTGACAAAAAACTAATTAGAAAAGAGGACAGAACTTTCACCTTTAAAAATTCATGTTTTATGAAATGTATTCTCTGGAAACTTTGGGTCAGCTGAGTTCACCAGAGATAAGAAACAGTGCATTGCATAGGCAACTCCAGGCCATCTGTTTTTCTACTTCTCCTATTAATCATTTCTGTCCCTTTCTCTAAGCAAAAAATAATTTCCCCAAGGGTATTAAAAGGCAGTAGGCACTAAAGCATGGGATGTTTTGAAAGTGTGTTTTTTAAATTGCAGAATTAACATCATCAGATTTTTCTTTCCTTTGGCTTTCATTTTGTAGAAATATTTCTCACATTTTGTATAAGCCTGCACCAAAACAACCTGGAAAATGCCTTCCTCCCCAAGGAATGATTCATTCTCCTTTGCCCTTTATGGCTAGAGTTTACAATAGTCAATACCTTGACCAAAAGAAGAAGAATGCATTGTTTTATTATCACAGGAATATTGTCACTAATTAAATGTTTATTGTGGCTATAGGTGTAGGTAAATAATTATAAACCACATAAAAATGAACTTTCTATATTTGATTACTTCCTTTTTAGTCATTTGTCTTTAAGCTAAAAAGACAAGTCTCTACCCTATTTCCTTTAGAATTATTTCAATGAGAAAAGACATAGTATAGAAGAAAATGTCAGGTATTAATAAATGGAGAGTAGTAATATAATCCATTAGTGCTAATATCTCTATTATTTCAAAAATCCATTAGTTATGCAGGTAAGTGGAAAACTGTAGGATTCAGGCCAAGTTCCTAATTTGCAACTACTATTCTTCATGAGTAATAATGTCTTAAGCCTAAGAAACAGAATTTCATCTGCTTAAAATAAATGGATCATGATGAAAAATGTCAGGTGTAATGTTCTACAATTTAGGTTGAAATTTTGGGTTTTACTCTTTGTATTATATCTTTTAGTGAGAGGCTTTTTTTTGTAACCATTATTCAGTGCTGAATTCTAAAATATTCAAATACCAAAAATAGACCTGAACAGGAGAGGAGAAAAATAAAATAATTTTGTAATTTTCCTTTAGAGCCCTTCATCAGTGGTTCATTACAGAGCAGTCTCTGGCCAGACCATTAAAATTAATCTGTTCACCTTTTGCTACACTTTCACTCTTTGCTGAAATATGTATCTATATTCTTGATTGTAATAGTACTTGCATAATTGTAATACGTAACTAGCAAGTGCTAGAAGCCAGCTGTTAACCAGAGAAATAGAATGACATATATATTCTTTTTGATCCTGCTTTTTTTAGAGCAAAAATGAGTCTTCTCCTAGTACTCAAATCTTGTTCACGCACACTGGAATGTAAATCTAGTGTGCACCTCAGAAATACATCTACCGTTAAGATATTACTAACACCACGAAAGACAGAATGTTAGTATTTTGAAGTAATGTTAGTATTTTGAAGTAAATTCCTTATTATAAGGAATTTAGGGTTCAAAACATGCTTTTTAGTACTGGCAGAACAATATTATGGAAATGTTTATGTGTTTGGTTTGCTCTTAAGATTTTATATCCTGTGATCTAGAACCCAAAAATATTAACTCCTATGTTATATCAGATTGTATAGCATTGCAAAAGTTTTTAGTTCTTGTAAAAGAACTAAATTGTATAGTTTTGCAAAAGTTTTTAGTTCTTGTAAAGTAGGTGCGTTCAACCCAGTAAGATATCTTTAAAGATTTTTATTCAAATTTCCCTTATAAACAATGACTAATCACCATGGAGTATTACTTTAAACTGTAACAAAATTATTTTTTCATTACGGTTTATTAGATACGCCTGCATCTGTAATATTCTAGAAAGTATTATGGAAAAATTATTGCCTTAATTCTCTAGGATATTAAATGTCAGGTGTCATTTAGATACGTAATCTAGTATGTATGCAAAATGTTTCAGAATGCTTTCAGAGCGGCTGGGTACAAACAATGCAAATTGAAATGGTGCAAACTGTACAAAAATAAGGAGAATTCAGGACTAAAAAGTAAAAAAAGAGATCCACAAGGTGGGGGTGAATAAGCCAGTTTCCTGGAGGTAATACATTCTGAACTGTACATCGGAGGGGGATCCATGAGTGGGCAAGCAGCAGGAGAGGAGCATTCCAGTGAGGGGCAGTTTAGCCTGGCCTGAAAGCCTGTCACCAACCAGAACTAGAATGGAAAATACCAGTGCTTTTCTATACTATTAGCTATCGGACCTGGTCTTTTGGTTTTTGTTTAAATATTTTTTTCAGATGAGATGGGTAATGTGCAGACATCCTAAGAAGATTTGAGTGTGGCACATCTCACACTTGTGAGGGAACACACAATCATCACGCTCATGAACTACAAAAGAATTGGACATTGTCTTTTTAATGATTAATATTACTAAATAATTGTATTATTTGTATAACATGTTAGCGTCTACAAGGCACTTTTGATTTAATTTGACTCAGTTAAATAGGCCACAGTGGCCTTGTCTATTTTCTTTTAGATCCAAGGTCTAAGGAAGGATGGATCAATTTAATTTGAGTGTCCATTTTATACTAAAGTTTTCAGTGTTTTGGATCTTTAATCATTATTGATTCTTTCTTGATATGACAAGTTGTAAGAATGGAAGGGAGATAGATTTTTATTTTTAATATTTGTGTCTCAATATAAACACTTATGTGGCACTTCCTTGTATTGCCTTTTTTATTAAAATTTTATCTTATTTGTTTATAAAAGAAGTTAGAAAGTACAGTGCAGGCTAGGTGGGGTGGCTCATGCCTGTAATCCCAGCACTTTGAGAGGCCGAGGCGGGTGGAACACTTGAGGTCAGGAATTTGAGAACAGCCTGGCCAACATGGCGAAATCCCTTCTACTAAAAATACAAAAATTAACTGGGTGTGGTGGCACACGCCTGTAATCCCAGCTACTCAGCAGGCAGAGGCATGAAAATTGCTTGAACCTGGGAGGTGGAGATTGTGGTGAGCCGAGATTGCACCAGTGCACTCCAGGCTGGGTGGCAGAGTGAGACTCTGTTTCAAAAAAGAAAGAAAGTAAGTACAGTGCAAAGGATAAAGAAAATGAATTGTAACTTCCCTCCAGAGATACTCATTCCTCCATCTGTTTTCTCTTGTGACAGCAACAAGGGGTGAGGATCTTCATAATGCTCTACAAAGAGGTGGAACTCGCTCTTGGCATCAATAGTGAATACACCAAGAGGACGTTGATGCGTCTACACCCCAACATAAAGGTATTCAGGTTCATCTTGATAACCAATGTTTCTTTATTATTCTATAGGATATTTTCAGATATGTTTTGTTCTGGGCAGTAATAATCTATAGAATTCCCAAATGTATATTTGATCAAATAGCATTGTGTCCTCAGAAATGAAGCAAAATACTATACTTTCTTATCTTCCCTACATTGATGGAGGTAAGCAGACCTCATATTTCTGCTTCTCTGACTCTGATAACTGAAAGTGAGAGTTTAGACAAGAACATGCTTCCTGCATTTGTTTTGATATTCATGAGCTCTATCAAGTTCTCACACTTGTCATTAAGTTTATCCCGGAACCTCTTAGATGTGGTCTCCCTGTGACATCCCCTGATCATTGATAGCAGCAAAGAGATCTCCTCTAGGCTTTAAAATGTCTTTAAAAAAAATCAATGGCACCTAGTATAAAATACTAATAAAGTAAATAAACATGAAAAACAATTTGAAAAAGTTATTTAATATTTTGCCAAATACCTAAAACCTATCAATAAATATAACCCAGTCATTGAGGTACATCAAGACATAATGAATGAATAAACCTCCAGCAGGCTTAAAACATGTAACAATTGTATGTTTCACTTGGTCAGAAAAAATGAAAGTGTTTTCTCCCAGAGAATGATTTATTAGGTTGCATAATTTATATATATTATTTGTTCATTCACCAAATTTCTATCAAGTACCCACTAAAGATGTAATTTTGCAACACCAACAACTGTGAGGAAAGAGCTGTTAAAGGAGCAGAGATTTGTATGTTACTGAAGTTAAACTGGTATAAATTCAAATTAGAATGTTACAACTTTAGGATGTTACATTTAACTGCAAAGAAAATAGCAATCCAATATATCACTATTTAACAAAAAGAAATGAGAAAGGAATTTATACATGTCACTACAAAAAAATCAACCAAACAAAATAGAAGACAGTAATGCAGGAAATGAGAGACAAAAAAGCCAAAGGCATGTAGAGAATAGTAGCAAAAGTACAGAAGTATCTTACAAATAATTACTTTAAATGTAAACGGATTGACCCCTCTAATCAAAAAACAGAGATTGGTAGATTGGATTTTAAGAAAACATGATCCAACTATATGGTATCTACAAGAGACTCACTCTAGATGCAAAGACACAAGTAGGTTGAAAATGAAAGAATGGAAAGGATATTTCACACACATAGTAAACAAAAAGGAGCAGGAGTGGCTAAACTAGTATCAGACAAAATAGACTTTAAATCAAAACATGATTACAAGAGACGAAGAAGGACATTATATATTAATAAAAGATTCAATACAGCAAGATATAAAAATTATACACATTTATGTACCTAATAACAGATCATCAAAATACATGAAGCAAAAACGGACAGAATTGAAGGGAGAAAAACACAGTCTGTGGTAATAGTTGGAGACTTCAACATTTCACTCTCAGTAACGGTTAGAGCAACCAGACAGAATTTAAGTAAGAAAATAGAGGACTTGAACACACAGTAAACCAGCTGGATCCAGTGGACATAACAGAACATTCTAGCCAACAACAGCAGGATACACATTCTTCTCAAGTGCACATGTGGCATTTTCCAGGATCATCTGTTAGGCTCCAAAGTAAGTCCTAATAGATTTTAAAAGGTAGATAAAATCTCTCTGACCACAACAAGATAATGTTAGAAATTAATAACAGAAGGACAGCTAGAACATTCAGAAATTAATAGAAATTAAATAACACACTGTTAAACAAGCAATGGATCAAAGAAAAAATCACAAGGGAAAGAGAAAATACTTAGAGACAAATGAAAATGAAACAACATACCAAAATTACGGGACACAGAGAAAGCAGTGCAAAGGGGGAAATTTACAGCTATACTTGCAAAAAGAAGAAAGATCTCAAAACAACAACCTAACTTTACAGTTTAAGGAACTAGAAAAAGAAGAACAAACTAAACCTAAAACTACCAGAAGGAAGGAAATAAAGATTGGAGCATGAGAAGTAAAACCAGAGGATAGAAAAATAATACAGAAAATCAATGAAACCAAGTTGGTTTTTTGAAGAGATAAAATCAACAAACCTTTAGCTTGATGGGCTAAGAAAAAAAAAAGACTCAAGTTACTAAAATCAGAAATGAAAGTAGAGACATTACTACCAATTCTACAGAAATAAAAATGATTCTAAGGGATTACTGAAAGCAATTGCATACCAATACATTGGATAACCTAGAGCAGATCTGCAAGTTCCTAGAAATACGAAACCTACCGACTAAATCATGAAGAAATAGAAAATCTTAATAGACCTTTAACTAGTAAGGAGATTGATCAGTAATTAAAAATCTCCCCCAGATGAAAAGCTAGGGACCTGATGGCTTCACTGGTGAATTCTACCAAACATGTAATGAGGAATTACCACCAATCTTTCTCAAGCTTTTTCAAAAATTGAGGAGAAGAGAAGAGTCCCTAACTCATTACCCTGATACCACTGGATTGTACACTTCAAAATGGTTAAGATGGTAAATTTTATGTTATGTTTATTTTACTACAATGTTTTAAAAAAGTGTTATTAAGAAAACAGTAAGGCCAGGTATGGTGGCTCATGCGTATAGTCCCAGCGCTTTGGGAAGCTGAGGTAGGAGGGTGGCTAGAGGCCAGGAGTTCAAAACCAGCATCGGCAACATAACAAGACACCCATATCTACAAAAAACAAAAAGATTAGCCAGGCATGGTGGTACACGCTTGTAGTCCCAGCTACTCAGGAGGCTGAGGCAGAAGGATCATTTGAGCTCAGGAGTTCAAGGCTGCAGTGAGCTATGATCACGCATCTATACTCCAGCCTCAGTGAGAGTGACAGTCTGTAAAAAAAAGAAAAAGGGGAGAGAGAGAGAGAGAGAGGAAGGAAGGAAGGAGGGAAGGAAGAAGAGAGAACGAAGAGAGAAAGAAAAAGAGAGAAAGAAAGAAAAGAAAGAAAGAGAAAGAAATAAAAAAAATAAAGAAAGAGAAAGAAAGAAAAAAAAGAAAGAAAGAAAGGAGGAAAGAAAGAAAGGGAAGGAAGGAAGGGAAGGAAGGAAGGAAGGGAAGGAAGGAAGGAAGGAAAGGAAGGAAGGAAAGAAGAAAGTAGTTGCCAAAGCTTTTGTCATCTTTTTACCTTAAGGCAAATGAAAATAAGAAGTCAGACTGGGATAATTTTGAAAGCAAGAGGTTACTAACTACTCAAGGTACCTTTTAAATAAAGAGCTGCCAAAATATCTATATGGCTATATTAATATGCTTAGTATTTCAATTCAACAACTGATAAAATATCAATATAATGCATTACAAATTTTTCCAGAGATAAATAGTAGTTAAATATTTTTAGCTTTTTTTTTTTTTCAGTACTGAATTTAACTTAATCCTTACAGGGGGAAGGGGACCAGCTATCAAACTGAGCTGACTGTTTTCTAATGTATTGCCAGACCTCAAGCTAAATAGCGGCTGCCCCAAAATATAGTATATGGACATGGGAACTTGAAAAGTAAATAGGAGTCTTTTTTTTTTTTTTTTTTGCTAAATGCTGAGAATAAAATTATTTTCTTTGGTGTATACGTTGTACGGTTTGGTATTTGAATTATAGAAAATGCTTTTCAGGGAGAATGCAGTCCTATTTCATTATGACAGGAAGGACATTTTAAAAGCATATTATCAGTGGGGATTTTTCCCTCTCAAGGTGATGAGACATCCGGATCATGTGTCGTCCACCGTCTATTTGTGGGCTCACCATGAGAAGCTTGTCATCATTGACCAATCGGTGGCCTTTGTAGGAGGGATTGACCTGGCCTATGGAAGGTGGGATGACAATGAGCACAGACTCACAGATGTGGGCAGCGTGAAGCGAGTCACTTCAGGACCATCTCTGAGTTCCCTCCCAGTAAGTATATTTCACCTTTATGGAAATGTATAACACGAACGTAATTTGTATAAGTTTGTATTAATAGCATGACTGATGGATTCATTGAATAAGAGATGGTGTCTCCTTGGAAGGGAAATGAACATTAAGTCAATCATGAGACAGACTTGGTTTCAAATACCAGCCTCCCCACCTAGCTAGCTGTAACTTAACATTGCTGAGTCTGTTCTTCTCTTGTAAGAAAAGAAAATAGATTCAGTGGAATTTTGCCTGTCCCATATTCAGCTTTGTTTTCCATTTAAATTAAGATTTATTTTTTATTCAGAAATAAGATTGATAAACAAAAATATGTGGCAGTTGAGATTTAGGTATTAAAAAGCCTTAAGTATCTGCCACAGTTTTTGGAAAGTTCCTACTTAAAGATACACAGAAACAGGATAGGTCAGTCTGGGGTCATTTAGAGGGAATTTGAGCCAGAAGTGAATAACTTCCCAAAGTGCCTTTTTAAATAGAGCTGCCAAAATATCTGTATGTGTATATCAATCTGCTTGCTGTTTCAACTAAATGACTGCCAGAATATGAATACACTTACTAAAAAATTTGATGGGCTTCATCTTATTTACTGCTGGAAATGTTGGTGACTCATTTATGCAGAAATAGCAATTTAGTGCATAGGGAACAGGAAAAATGATTGACAGAGGAAGCCTTGCTTACTTAATGTTTACCAGAGGAACACGTTCAGGAGTTCAACAGTGAATGTAACCCATGTAATTGTATTTGAGATTAAAAGTTTAATTGGAGTGAAATTTCAAGAATTTGACCTACTGAAAGAAGAGCCAGAGCAGAACTCCTCCTATTCCTTTGGTAGTTTTTAAACAGTTCACAAGAATCCACCACTACCCTGTGGCTGACCTCAGACATTATTGCATATCTATTACAGAACCTCCATCATTTGTAAACTTTATACTTAGCTCTACTTGAATTAAAGAACCACATTGCAGCATGTCTTATGCAGTGTCTTTGTTTACAAAAATGATTTTCTCAGCCTGCCACAACAGAGTCTATGGAATCCTTAAGCCTCAAAGATAAAAATGAGCCTGATCAAAACCTGCCCGTCCGGAATAGTGTTGATGATGTGGATTCAAAACTGAAAGGAACAGGAAAGCCAAGAAAGTTCTCCAAATTTAGTCTCTACAGGCAGCTCCACAGGCACCACCTGCACAACGCAGATAGCATCAGCAGCATTGACAGCACCTTCAGTAAGTCATGGCCTTTGCTAGAATTTATCTTAACTACCTACTGTTCTTCCATAGCCGGACACTACATACCTGTTTTCAAAATCTGTCTTTCTGTAATGGAGTAGAATGAGCAATGTTGAGAGGTCACTATATCATTCTATTCAACCTCATGCCATTTTGTGGCTTTGTTTGCCTCATTTTAGAGCAGATTTATTGTTTTATCCACACAAAAGTCGTAACGACCACGATTACTGCTTCTAATGGACTAAGAACGACAAAGGGTTTCTAAAATACACCAAGCCATAAAGGAAAAAGGTATTAGATGTACTTTATAAACTTTTCTTAGAAGAAATTACATTTATCTTCCTATCCAGAAATATATCAAGCTTATCTCTTCAAGCATCAGACTGTCTACATCTTGTAAATTTACTATTCCTTTGAAATCCATTGTAAAATCCTACAATTTTCTGTTGCACAGAATCTTATAACTGATGTTATAGCCCTGTCTGGTTTTAAAAATGATCAACCTTGCTTTCCAGTTTAGAAAATTTGATATCTGTATTTCTTTGTAAAAAAAAAAAAATTCTCAATTTCTCTAGGTTGTTTTAATCACTATAGAAGTCATCACAATTTAATCCATGGTTTAAAACCCCACTTCAAACTCTTTCGCCCATCCAGTGAGTCTGAGCAAGGACTCACTAGACCTAATGCTGGTAAGTGATTTGTGAAGTGGCAGAACTCCCTTAGGCTTGAGCTTTGGTTGTGCTGTCTGCTGCATGGGCATAGTGAATGTGTTTCCAGATTGGCTTTCTGTTTGCAGTTTTGTTGCTACATATATTATTGAGAGTCTGCTCTATGCAAAGCATCCTGTAGTATCCACGATCCCTACTCCCTAAGAACTTATAGCACCAAAGACAAAACAGACCTAATAAGAGAAAATGCATGGCACATGCAATTCAATAGTGTTGTGGACGTTCTATGGAAGGTGGAAGGAATTCCTCTCTGATGGTCCAACAAGACTTTTGGAGGAGGGGACATTTGGGTTAGGCCTGGAAGTAATTGGGGTAGGTGATAGGAAGTCATTGCAAGTGAGGGAGGTGAGTTGAGCAAAGGTGCTGGAATGGGAAAGCAGCAACTGTTTTCAGATCGTGTAAAATGCATTATTTGGCCAAGATGCAGTTTTTGATATAAGACTAGGAAGATATATGACATTCACATTTGGGAGTTGGAATTTTATTCAGTTAATTTTTTTTTTTTTTTTTTTTGAGATAGAGTCTGGCTCTGTCACCCAGGCTGCAGTGCAGTAGGGCCATCTCGGCTCACTGCAACCTCTGCCTCTCGGGTTTTAGCGATTCTCCTGCTTCAGCCTCCTGAGTAATCCCTAGCTGGGATTACAGATGGGCATGACTGTGCCTGGCTAATTTTTGTACTTTTAGTAGAGATGGGGTTTTGCCATGTTGGCCAGGCTTGTGTTGAACCCCTGACCTCAAGCAATCCTCCCACCTCGGCCTCCCAAAGTGCTGGGATTACAGGTGTGAGCCACCACACCTGGTCAGTTAAACATCCTGAAGGCCTTTGGGTGGATGTGTTGTGTCATGCTATGTGAATTTTCAGAAATCACAATCTGATAGCTGTTGGTAAGAAGATACTCCAGATACTTGAGGAATTAATGAATGATTAATGAGTTTCACTTGTGGTGCGAATAAAGAAGGATTTGGCCACTGGTCAGATATGGAGATAAGTAATCATAATAAATGACGCTAGTAAAATCATAGGCTAAAATTTATTTTATGCAGACTGTATCCATCACTGCCCTGAGAACTTGCAGTGCTTAGTAGTAATATTGTCATCTTCTTTTTACAGATGAAGACATTCAGGGTTAGAGATGATACATGTCATGCCCAATGGAGTTCCAATTTATCATCCTCCCAGTGCCCATGATTAAGACTTGTGATTTAGCAGAAATGAAGATCACTATGTTATACTTTTTTGGCTAGAACCTAAGGCCAGGGCTCTCATGTACTGTTTAGCAGATGAGAGTTACAGTCTAGCACACATGCCTGAATGTGAGTCACTTGTGGCTTGCAGGTGCTAATGAACCAGAAAACTTATGCTGGACTTTGAGTAGGGATTCCCAGCATTCTTTCACCTAGGGCAGGGGTGTCCAATCTTTTGGCTTCCCTGGGCCATATTGGAAGAAGAAGAATTGTCTTGGGCCACACATAAAATATACTAACACTAATGATAGCTGATGAGCTAAAAAAAAGTTGCAAAAAAATTATAATGTTTTAAGAAAGTTGGTGAATTTGTGTTGGGCCACATTCAAAGCCATCCCGGGCTGCATGTGGCCCACAGGCTGTGGGTTGGACAAGTTTGGTCCAGCTACCCTGCATTTTAAAAAATGCAGTAATCAACTACACACAATGAACTAAAACTTCAATGTAACTGTTAAATAAATTTATGTTTTATAAATCATAACAGCATCAATATACATTTAAAAATGGAGAAGAGGCCAGGGACGGTGACTCACACCTGTAATCCCAGCACTTTGGGAGGCGGAGGCAGGAGGATTGCTTGAGCCCAGGAATTCAAGACCATCTTGGGCAACGTAGTGAAACCCCATCTCTACAAAAAATTAGCTGAGCGTGGTGGTGTGCATCTCTCGTCCCAGCTTTTCCAGAAGCTGAGGCAGGAGAATTGCTGGAGCCTGCAAGACAGAGATTGCGGTGAGCTGAGATCATGCCACTGCACTCCAGCCTGGGTGACAGAGGGAGACCCTCTCTCACACACACAAAAATAATTTTTAAATTTTTTAAAAATAAAAATAAATGGCTCAAGCCTGTAATCCCAGCACTTTGGGAGGCCAAGACAGGTGGATCATGAGGTCAGGAGATCGAGACCATCCTGGCTAACACGGTGAAACCCGGTCTCTACTAAAAAAATACAAAAAAAATAGCCAGGCGAGGTGGCAAGGCGCCTGTAGTCCCAGCTACTCGGGAGGCTGAGGCAGGAGAATGTCGTAAACCCAGGAGGCAGAGCTTGCGGTGAGCTGAGATCCGGCCACTGCACTCCAGCCTGGGCGACAGAGCGAGACTCCATCTCAAAAATAAAAAATAAAAATAAAAATGGAGAACAAATATGGGGAGACATTCTTATTTAGCATACAGCTAGTACTGGTTGTGTGTGTGGATTTGGGGACAACTCCCATTAATTCCTGTGCTTGACAAAGCTTCAAAGTCCTGGGAAGCAGGAGGCCTCTGCAAAATCCAGGAAGCCAGGAGTGCATGCAGTGGCAGATATTAGAGGTAAAGGGTTGGAAACAGCTCCAGGTAGTGCCTTATCATTTCAATGTGTAACTTTGCTGCTTTATTACTGAAGTTAAAAATGAAGTGGAGGAAATGAGATTGCCAACCCTGAAGATTATGGATCTGAATTATGACTGATAGTGTTGCTGACAATAGGATTGAGAGCAAGTGGAAAAGATGTGAGTGAAGTGCTGAGTCCAGTAAGTAACTCACACCTACTACAGGTTGAGAGGGGTGATATCCACAGAGGTGATCTGAGACACTGATCATACATGTGTATGGTTTTCTGTTGCTGATGAAAAGTACCCTTGACATCTGTTTACAACCTCTCACTGATAAACTGAATATATGTCTAGTGCAGCATTGTTGAGAGACAAAGAGAGATGGGGGAGAGAGAACAACCTAAACATCAAAGAGTAGGGAAATGGTGAAGAACATAATGAATGGTAACAAATGTTTCATCTCTTTGATGGAACTGGGCAATGATTAAAACTGTAATTGGGGATACAAAAATAAACATAGAAGATTTATTTATTTAATTAAATAAGTATTTATTGAGTTTCTATTATATACCAATCACTATTCTGAGTTCTAGAGGTGTAGTGAATAAAGCAGATGAAGTGCAGTTAACTAGTTGGGTGGTAAGGATGAGAACTGTGTGTACAAATAGAGGGGCAAACACATTATATCAGGTGGTGATAATTATGGAGAATAGTTGAGCATGATAAGGGAGGAAGGGCACAGGAGAAGTTACTATTTTGTAAAGGCTGGTCGGAGAATACGTCTCTCATGAGGTTAGTTTTTAACTGACATCTAAAGGAGGAGAAGAATGAGGATAAGAAACTGTCTGAGAGAGGGTGTTTCTGACAGAAGGAATAGCAAGTATGAAAGGCCATGAGGCAGAGGGGACAGGTGTGTTCCAGGAATATGGCTGTAGTGAGGTGGGCTAGGAGAGGATGATAAGAACAAAATCAGAGAGGTAGGCCGGGGTGGATTATGTGAGGTCTTGAACACCACTGTAAGATTTTGACCCTGAGTGAGACAGGAAGTCATCGCATGGTCTTGAGCAAAGGGTAAGCAAGGGCTGACTTACATTTTCCAAGGATCATTCTTCAGAGCAGACCAGGGTGGCAAATGGTGACTGTGCAGGTTATGAATATATTTTGAGGGTCGAGCTGACAGCATTTGCTGATGAACTAGATATGAGATGTGAGAGATGGAGAGGACTCCAAATCTTTGGCCCCACTGGAAAGATGGAGTCTCCATGAACTGAGATGGTTATGGGAAGAGCAAGGAAAGTTTGAGGACAATTGCCACTGTGTCAAAATACGTTCCTGAAGGCAGCTGAGAAAGAACGTTCAATGATGCTATCTTTGTTAGGAAAATGGAGCTTGAGGTGATTTATTTTTTTCCCACATCGTTGATACTATTTTCATTTCACTTTTATAATCAAACTTAAATACAAATTTAATTTTTTTAAATGAAAACAATTCATTTACCTCAAAAGAAAAGCCAAAGGATAGTGGGGTCCTTCTAGAGCAGTGCTTTCCAAACTCGATTCCTTGGATCCTGGAGTTTCTAAAAGGCTTTGAGGAGAACATTGAAGTAGGTGAACCCCAGGACCCTCCCACTGCTCTTGGTACCTCTTCAACCAGAACAATCCCACTTGTATCTGTTTTAAATATTGGAGTCCTTCTGAACTTGTTTTCAAAAAAAAAATAAGTAAAGTTCTACTAAAAATAATGAAGGAAGTTTAAAGAGCAAGGCACTAGATTTAAATCATGTAATACCTTAAAAACTCAGGTTGCCTTATAAAACAAATTAAGCATGGAGTGACTCTTCGTTAGAAATTTAAAACTGAATATGAACTTGAGTTAATGACTTCCTTGTCCTGAGAATGCAAAGAGAGCCTCTCTGCAATATCAATTTCACTTGACTGCACATGACCATGTTGAATTGGGCTCCTATTAAACCTCCCTGGTGTCATACAGAAATCAGTGTGGAGTGAACATCGCTATGGGTTTTTAATATAGAAAAACTGCACTGAAAACGTGGTTAGGAATCATATCTGTAATATATGTTTTTCAAAATCACTCAGCCATTTTCACATTTTTTTTCATTCAGAATTATGTTGCAAGAGGGAGAATTTTGCTTGATACTATTTTTAAAGTGTTGAATTTTATTCCTCTTATTTATTTATTTATTATACTTTAAGTTCTGGGATACATGTGTAGAACATGCAGGTTCGTTACATAGGTATACACGTGCCACGGTGGTTTGCTGCACCCATCAACCCATCATCTACATTAGGTGTTTCTCCTAATGCTATTCAGCAACTGTATGCTGATGTTTTCCTTTTAAGCAATATTAAATAGGTAAGTGAGGGAAAATTATTTTTGCAATTTAGTTGAGACAGGCTTTTCACATTTGAGTGTCTAGTCATAAGGGATAATATTAAGCTGTTTCTAAAGTGTTCTTAGGAATGCAATGGATAGGATGTATAAAATTCATCTTGTGCTGTTAAATAGCTTATTATCTAATAGGTGAGCATGAGTTTTAAATATTTTACAAACCTAATATTTTAGTCATTCATTGAGGGAAGATACTCCTACTGCAAGAGTCATCATTGGTCCACAGATGACATACAGGTCTACAAACCCTTAACAACAATCCTAAATCCCAAAAAATTTTGAAAGCCAAAATATTTTTAAAAATATAACTTGTTGAGTGCCTGTATTGGAACTGGCCTCGAACATACATAGAAATTCAGTAGGTAGAGACTAAAAAGGTAGAAAACAGCCATTTTAGGTAGATACTACATCTCAAGACACAGATATAGGAAATGCAAAAGTATTTATTTCGGCATCTCAGACCTGAGTGTAGAATGTGGTAGATACATATAGCTCTATAATCTCTCATACAAAATCTTTGGAATCAGATTTCAGAAATCAGAATGTTGTGGATTTTAGAAAGGTAATACAATACCTATACCCTCTATTATGTTACCCTCCCAGCAGCATCCAGGAAATACCTGGAATGTAGGCAAACCATTTATGTTTGTGCAACACCAAGTGGGATCAATAAAGATAATAAATAACCTCTTGTCAGTTCAGGCCAGGTTTTGCTGACCCGGGAGCTATGAAATGAGCTGTGAAAATCAGCTATGAAAAAACATTTGAATTGTTAGAACTTTTGGAGTTTTGGAATTGTGGTTAAGGGCTAATTTGTGCAGATTGAGCTGGTGGGATATATCTGTATCAGTCTACGGAGGACTTTGAAAATCAGACTGAGACATTGCACCTCTTCCATTAAATGTTGGAAAATCCCTACGGGCAGGGAGCAATTAAGGGTGAGGCTTTATAGCATTTATAGTAGAGACACGGGGAGTCTGACAAGGTTGTGTCAGTGAGTTCAAGAACGAAGTAAATGGGAGAACCTTTTTCCAAAGGCATCATGGTCTGGGAAGCCATGGGAAGGTGGGTGGAGAAGTCCATGAAGAATAAAGGAGCCAAAGATGATTCCGAGGTTTGAGCTTGAGTTACTACACACAGAGAGCAGAAATCTCAAGGAAAGACTTGATTTTATGGAATGATAATGATTTTAGTGTCAGACATAATTTTAAAGTTCTGGTGGGAACTAGGTAAACAATGTCAAGTGAGGCACTGGAAGTGACCTTAGATCTGGAGTCCAAAACAGAGGCCAAACTTGCAAGTGCACATTTAGAAATTGTATCGAAAAAGATGGGAGAGGCCAGGCGCGGTGGCTCACACCTGTAATCCCAGCACTTTGGGAGGCTGAGACGGGCAGATCACAAGGTCAGGAGTTCGAGACCAGCCTGGCCAACATGTGAAACCCTGTCTCTACTAAAAATACAATAATTAGCTGGGCATGGTGGCGTGTGCCTGTAATCCCAGCTACTCGGGAGGCTGAGACAGGATAATTGCTTCAACATTTGAACCCGGGAGGCGGAGGTTGCAGTAAGCGGAGATCATGCCACTGCACTCCAGTCTCAAAAAAAAAAAAAAGAGAGAGAGAGAGGAAGAAAAAAAAAGAAAAAAAAAGACAGGAGAAAGGGGAAACCTTGTTAGTGAGGAGGAGCTAGGAAAGAAGAACAAGAGGCGTAGGCTGAAGAAATGGTAGAACAATGGAGACCTGGAAGGCAAGAGATGAAAACAAAAGGAGAAAAGGGGGAGGATGTGGCAAGACCAGAGAACACCAGGCAAGGAGCAAGAAGACCCCCTTCTCATAAACTTTAGCAGCCAGAATCTGAGCCACTGACAGAGGAGGATGCAGAAGATTGGCATGACAAATCTGTGCCAAAAGATAAGGCAGGTGTAATTATGAAATCATTTGGGAGCCAGATAGCAACCTAATGAGACCCCCTTGGATCAGCATTGTTGACATCAGAAGTCCTCTCGACCTGCTCATCCATGCTCATGCAATTCTGAGCTGTTGTTTTCACAGGAACTAGTATTTGACTCTATTGCCTTAAGAGTTCATTTGTACTGAGAAGGACCCTAATTTATGTGGAATAGTTTTTAGGCCATGGCCAAAAACAAAAGCAAATTTGAATTATGAGCAGGTTGAATTCAATTAGTACCAAGATAATTTCCTGAGACTAAGAATTTCCTTTATTTTCCTTATCATAACTAGTTGTTAGGTGAAAGTTAATTTTTAAATGAGTGTATGTGTGTTTATGTAAAGCCTTAGCTTAGAGTTTTGCAACTGATGAAAGCAAATTGTATATATATTTTTTATATTTGAAATCTGAAATATTATTTATCTCATTTTTGGTCCCTTTTGTTTCTTTTCTTACCCTCTGTTTTTCTTTTTACAAAGTGCTATGTTAACAACAAAGAGCCTGTAGATGAGCAAACAGGCCTACCTGCACTTTGGCCTTTCAGTCTCATAAAGCAGGAAAATAAATAACTGGGAGAAGTCAATAGAAGTCTATTTTTAACATGATTTCATTTTGCTAATCTATGGCATTTTAAGTCATTTTTCTTTTATAGAAAATTTCAATAGCCTTTGGAAGGTTAATGATTCAGTTTGAGATAGAATATTAGCATTGTGTGTGGTGATTACATAAAAACATTTGTTCTGCAAATATTTATTGATTGCCTGGATGCTTGGAGGTACTGGCAGTGAGGAGATTTGGTTCCCACTCCCAAAGAGTTTATAGACTGGTGAGGCATTGATGGAGGGCGGGAACCTGATACAATTGTGTCACAGAGTTAAAGGTGTTGGGGCAGTTGTTAATGGTATGACAGCAGTGCTAGTGACTGCCTCTTCCTTACAGGGAGCTGGGAGGTCTCTCTAGAGCAGGTGACAGCTAATGTGGCTCTTGAAGGATGATTAGGATATCAGGCCAAGAGGGAGAAAGGAGCATTTCAGAGAGAAGTAATAATGTGCCGACTACATGGAGACATGGCAGACCACGCCTGTTAAAATACAGTGAAACATGTGCTTTACATGGGGCCTGGGGTTGGGTGGGGAAAAACAAGGACTAGAAAGAGTTTGGCACCAGTTTGGGAAGAGCCTTCTATGCATACTAAGCCCTTAGGACTTGAACTTCCTGTAGGCAGTATGTGAACCTTCCAGGGCTTTAAGCAAAGAGTGCCTTTTACAAAGACAGTTCTGGGACAGTGTGTTGGTGGCGGGACCAGTGCAGCCCTCTCACTGGCTACTGCAAGCAGTACCATTTATTCATTCAACATATATTTTTGCATTCAGTGTCTATTTGTTAAATGCCTCTTTTGTGCCAAGCGCTGCATCTGTGATTTGTAATTCTGCTAATCTTTTTACTTCATTGTCTTCGTATTTAGCCTTAAGTCAATGGTCTCATCATAGTTCTTTGTGAAATGCTACAATAGATTGCTGCTTTTGTACCTATATCATAAGCTTTCATCGGTTGTTGCCATATTTTTTATAAATGCCATCTATGATTTGAAGTATGTAAATGTTAAAGCGCAACAGATTTTAGCTGTTATCTAGGCGAAATTCTTCATTTGATGCATAATGGACTTATGATCTAAAAAGTTGAAGCTCAGTGTCACTTAGCTAGTTAATTCCAGGGCTGGAACATGGACTATCTGTAAATTTGAAGTTCTTGCTTCAATGCAAAACAATTATGCATCAGGTGTGCACCATGTTGGTTGAGGAAAAAGAAGTGGCATGGTATCTTTATTGCCTCTGCGTCTCAGGTTTCTCCACCTCACCCCTGCCCCTCCCCCTCCACCCCCCAAAGCCCCCCAACAGCTTTACTGCTCTCTCATAGTGCCACCTTGTGAGTTCTTCATTCACAGTTAATTCTGTGATCAGTTCTTCCAGTGATCTGGTAGGTGGTGGGAATAAGTTACTCAACTGCCTGAGGTCAAATTTCATTGTTTGATGATGAATCTTGTTATAGCCCTAATTGCCCACTAAAAGTAAACTTGTAAGGACTGTAAAACGTTGTTAGCTCACAACCTCTAATACAATGGACATATGCCACCCTAGTGATGTCTTAAGAAATTAAGAAGCTTTTAGGTGTTTAACAAATGAGGGTTGAGCCTCCCTTTCTGGGATCCCCCTGAACCACAGTCCCTGAGGGGGTCTTGCTGCATTCACAGATACCGGGTCCATCCGCAGTTTACAGACAGGTGTAGGAGAGTTGCATGGGGAAACCAGATTCTGGCATGGAAAGGACTACTGCAATTTCGTCTTCAAAGACTGGGTTCAACTTGATAAACCTTTTGCTGGTGAGTATTATGATGGTGGGGTGCTGGTTATATTTTGTCTTTTACCTTTGAGCATCTCAACAAGTACACACGTGCATGATCTAAATGACTTTTGTTTTGCTTCTGTTTATTTTTGAAAATTTTTTAAAACTTTGGAGACTTGATTTAGTCATTAGTCATGTGCTTAAGGACTCTTTTTTTCAGTTATAATAAGAAAAAAACACGAAATAGAGCTGAACTGTCTGAAACCTCCAGATTTGTTATAGGCACATTTTTGGGGTAATAATCAGTAATTTTTCAGGAAATGGTAGGCTCCCTTTGATCATCTTTTATTCTGCTTATTTCCTGCATTTCCAAAATGAGAATGGCATATTTTCAGATTATCACTGAGTTTATATGTTTAAGAGGAGATAGAGATGGCATTGCTTGCCATTGTTTCAACAGGATAAAAAATTAATAATATAATATCAAACACACTGCCTTAGATAATTTGTACCCACTCACATCTTGCCATGTCTAGTGATTATCTAATCCTAAGTGAAATGGAAACATATTTGGGGAGGTGCCTGGGAGCTATGTCCCTGCGTGTGAAATCTGTTTCCCTTGATTATAAAAATGTTGTTCTGTGCAAGCCAAGAAATATATACCTAGTGAGCACTAACCCACGTTTCCTTTTAGTATCGTAGTTGGAGTCAGAGAGCCTCTGCCCCAGCACCGAAGTTAATGACTGATCCTTGCCTGGTGCACCTGGGCAGATTTCATTGACAGGTACTCCATGCCCCGGATGCCCTGGCATGACATTGCCTCTGCAGTCCACGGGAAGGCAGCTCGTGATGTGGCACGTCACTTCATACAGCGCTGGAACTTCACGAAAGTACTTGGATATTGCTATCATGATTTATCCACATGAAGAGAGGCAGGCCTAACTAGAGAAGAGGTTCGGAGGAGGCTGTTGGCAAGAAGAGATTGTCGCGGCCACAACTATGTCACCGCTCTGCTGTTGGCTCCATTGATGTCAGGGTGCCTGGGCATCTGGGCAAAAAAAGAGGGAAACATTTCTGAATGTCCACACCATAGGCAATTCAGAGTGCCTAGGGATAGGTGCTGCTGTGTGGGTCCTGATTTTAATTTTGTTAATATCTTGGACACAGTGTTGACCAAGCATTTAGTAGCCCAGGCTTGGTAGTCATTTGCAGGGCTGTTATAGCGGGATGGGAGCCTTGTTTAGATGAGAGGGCTTGAGCTTTAAAGTCCCGTCCAATCCTGGAACTGCAATGGGTTTATATTGGTACAGGATTCTGAGAGCTGGTTCTGAGCAAACCAAGCAATATTAAGAAGGTAGGGCCATTTTCCTTTTCTCCAGATTGTGTCCTCATTACTTTTAAGAACTTGACCTAATATTCAAACCTAACATTCGTAAGTTAAGTACGTATCATTCAGGTCAGGCTCGGTGGCTCACGACCGTAATCCCAGCAATTTGGGAGGCCTAGGTGGGTGGATCACCTGAAGTCAGGAGTTCGAGACTGGCCTGACCAACATGGTGAAACCCCATCTCTACTAAAATACAAAAATTAGCTGGGCGTGGTGGTGGGTGCCTGTAATCTCAGCTGCTCTGGAGGCTGAGGCAGGAGAATCACTTGAACCCAGGACGCTGAGATTGCAGTGAGCCGAGAGAACGCCATTGCACTCCAGCGTGGGGGACAGAGCGAAACTTGGTCTCAAAAAAAAAAAAAAAAAGAAAGAAGGTACATATTCAGGTGTTTTTAAAGTTTCACTTTATTTACTTGAAGTGATAATGAGGCATGATTCCCCTTGGTCATTTTGAAAAAGAATTTAGTTTTATCAACCACTTAGACTCTCACTTTGTTTTTCATTCACATGAGGATTATAAAAATTTAGTGGACATTCTAATGGAAATTTTTTAACAAAAATTTAGGGGAGATGGATTAATAAACAAGTGGGGTGTTACTTTTAACTTGCTGTACTGGCAAAGATAAAAATCTCTGCTAATACCTGTAGTTAGGTTTGGGGTGGTTTTGTGGTGTGCTCATACACGCTGCCCCAGGGAGGATAAATTGGTACAACACCAATAAGTCTTTTTTAAAGACTTTGATCCAGAAAAACTATTTCCAGGTATTCAAACTAAAGCCGTAATCCAATAAGGTAATTTATTTTGATATGGCTTCTAATAATTCAAATAAAATTAGAAATAACAGAAATCCTTACTAATAGGAATTTGTTAAACAAATGATTCTTTTATACCATTTTACTATGAAGTTATTACGAATAATGATATCCCACTATATTGCTGTGGCAAGATATCTAGAACATAATCAGTAAAAAAATTAGTTTATAAAACAATAGTCTCATTTTTGCAATTATAAACTTTTATAACTACAGATTATATTTAACCTGTCTTTATAAATATAAAACAATATGTCCCCTACAAAAGGTAAAAACAGGACTATGAGAAATAGAAAACAAACACAAATAATCTGTAGCCCTTCACTTAGAAATGTCCATTAACATTTTTCTTTTTCTTTTTCAAATTAACCTGAATTTCTTTTTTTCTTTTTCTTTTTTTTTGAGATAGAGATTCACTCTTCACTCTTGTCACCCAGGCTGGAGTGCAATGGTGAAATCTCAACTCACTGCAACCCCTGCCTCCCAGGTTCAAGTGATTCTCCTGACTCAGCCTCTTGAGTTGCTGGGATTATAGGTGCCCGCCGCCATGCCTGGCTAATTTTTGCATTTTTAGTAGAGATGGGGGTTTCACCATGTTGGCCAGGCTGATCTTGAACTCCTGACCTCAGGTGATCCCCACTCCTTGGCCTCCTAAAGTGCTGGGATTACAGGTGTGAGCCACTGCGCCCTGCCATAAATTTATTTTATAATCACAAAGTAGGGAGAATGAATCTTTTTTCTCATTTGAATATTTTTTATCCCTTTTTCTTTATTTTAGATTATGAAATCAAAATATCGGTCCCTTTCTTATCCTTTTCTGCTTCCAAAGTCTCAAACAACAGCCCATGAGTTGAGATATCAAGTACCTGGGTCTGTCCATGCTAACGTACAGGTAAGTTCTGGCTTTTCTTTTTGACAAAATGCTACCGAGTAAAATTACTGTTATTGGACCAAGGGCCTGTTACATTGGCTTCAGATTTTTCAATGACTGCTTTTCTAAGGCAAAACTAAATGGACCTTTTAACACTTAGTATTAGATTTCCTATGTTAAATGGATTCAGTCTAGTCTCTTTTTAAAACTCTTATAAATATAATAAATGCGTGTCCTTAGAAAAGGCCACCGCCAAGGAAAGGCTATTCCTGTAATTCCTTCTGAAGTGACCCTAGCAACGTGATTCCCAGTAAACCTGGACCTGATACTGCCCAAGCACCAGGAATGTGGCTGAAACTTAGCAGCTAGGAAGCTAGTTGTAGTTCAATCTAATTTTAGTTCCTGATTAACCAAATGTCTTCTAGAGGCCCTTTTAATGGAATAAGGATTTGTCTTAATAGAGTCACAACAGTTTACCACATCCAGTTTAACCATCTCAAACTACAAATAAAATTCAGACCTCGTGGGGCTCTGAGGCCTATCTAGGGCCGGCCAGCTGGTTATCAACAGAGGTGGACCTTGAAATCCTAGTCTAGTCCAGTGTTACCCAATCTGCTTCCTTTACCAACTACAGCTCAAATATCTTGAGATCATGTGGGGACAGAAGTAGGATGGGCCACCTTTGGCGTTGCCTTTTGTTTGAAGTCATCACTATGGGCATCAGAAGAATTGTTTAAGTAAAGTCCAGCAGCCTGCTACTGCTACATATCATCAGTAGGGACTATATAATGCAGACATGGATCCTAGGGAACATGATTATATAAATGAAGTGCCTAAATCAGTTATTTTGCATCGTGTGCAATTGGAGGTATGTGTATATAAAAAATCAGACATTTCAGACTGTAGATCAAATAATAGAACATTTTTTTAAAAAAAGGCCAGGCACGGTGGCTCCCGCCTGTAATCCTAGCACTTTGGAACGCCAAGGCAGGTGGATCACCTGAGGTCAGGAGTTCGCAACCAGCCTGGCCAACCCTGTCTCTACTAAAAACAAGAAATTAGCTGGGCGTGGTGACATGCGCCTGTAATCCCAGCTACTCGGGAGGCTGAGGCAGGAGAATCGCTTGAACCCAGGAGGCAGAGGTTACAGTGAGCCAAGACTGCGCCACTGCACTCCAGCCTGGGCGACAGGGTAAGACTGTTTCAAAAAATAAAAAAAGAGAAGCGGCTTGAGAGAAATATCAGCAGCAAATACTAGTCATCCCAGGCTAAAAAGAAAACTAATTTAAACTCAAAGGCATAGATAGCTATGATTTATATGTAAGCTGATGAATATTTTATGAACCTGTTTAATTTTATTCTACGTGGAGGAGAAAAAACTACCCATGCTAGAATATAAAATAAGAAACTTGTTATTAGGAAAATAAGAATTTAAGATTTGGACTTGCGTTATTATTGACGTCATGGTCAATTTATCAAAGTTAGCTGATGTTAATAAGTATCTGTTGAAAATGGATTGCTGGGAATTAAGTATTTTTGTAATCAATGAAGAAAGTTTTAGCATAGTGTTGCATATGCATATATTTTCCACTTCACTGTTGGTGAAGTCCTGACTCACATAGTCTCATCCTGCTGTCTGGTGAGGTCGATAGATACTCTATAAGATGCTTCTCTTTGTTCACTTTTTCCACATCACCGATGTTGTGTGAGAAATGACACTAGACTGGGTGTGGTGGATCACACTTAGAATCCAAGCACTTTGGAAGGCCAAGGCAGGAGGATTGCTTTAGCCTAGGAGTCCAAGACCAGCCTGGGCAACATAGTGAGACCCCATCTCTACAAAAAGCTTTTAAAAAATAAGCCAGGCATGGTGGCACATGCTTGTGGTCCCAGCTACCCAGGAGGCTGAAGTGGGAGGATTGCTTGAGCCCAGGAGGCGGAGACTGCAGTGAGCCTTGATTGCACCCATGCACTCCAGCCTGGGCAACAGAGCGAGACTGTCTCGAAAAAAAAATAAATAAATAAAAATAAAAAGTAAAAGAAATGAGACTAGATCTGATAAGCTCATATGTTAATCACACATATGTTCAGGTGACCTGGATTCAGGAATCTACAAAGTCAAGGATATTTAACAAAGCTTATTCATTCATTCGTTCATTCATTTATTCAGCCAGCATATGTTTACTAAGTGTTGTCCGTTTGCATGGTGAAGTCATCAAAGCACACTTCGGTGTCAAGGGGGTAGACAGCAAAGGAGTTCTCTGCCTCTGGAAACTTAGTTAGCTGGGGAGAGATAGCTGAGATGAACAATTCAGTTAACAGTGCAAGATACGGTCTCTGAGTAAATGTTGGTGTGAAAGTAAGGACCAGCATGCTATGAGTTTGGAAATCCAGAGCGACAGAACTGGGTGTCCGCTCTAAGGAATAATCCTGCTTGCTCAGAAGACAAGAGGACTGACTACAGTAACCCATTCCCTCTAAGAGAGGCGCTGATGAAGTTAGATGGCATAAGGCCGGGGCGGGGGTGGGGGCAGGGTGGGGGCTGCGCCTGGAGTGCTGGCCTAGTGAATTTGGACCTGGTATCGGAAGCGCTAGTGAACTTTGGATGGTTTTTTTTTAATTGCACAAGAAGCATGATACATGAATGTTCTATGAAGATTAAGGAGAGAGTTTTCCAAACTGAATTTACCTGTGAGATGCTGATAACTACTCCACAAAGATTTCTATGGACAGATAAGGCTTTGTAGAATTCTTTAAAACAGGTCTCCTTAGCACCTTTGTTATGCTACAGTGTATTATAAAACCACTAAGAGGGAACATGATGTGAGCATTTCCCAAGCTTATTTGACAGAGAATCTCTTGTTTTATGCATTCTTATCTGTTTCCATCTTTCCAAACAAATACCTTGAGACCAAAAGTTTATACACGTGAAGAACTTATTAGACTAGAGAGAGAATGAGAGCAAGGGAACAAGTGAAGTGGCTGTTACAGTAATTCTGGCATACAATTAAGTTCTAAACTAGAAATGAAGAGAAGGGACAAATAGGAGATATTTTTGAGGAAAGAGACAAAGGGACATCACGACTAGGAACTAACTGAAAATTCAGGACAGAGGAAAAAGTTGAAGATAATTAGTTTAGTGTCACAAAGTCTCCAAAGAACCATAGGAACTGTGTCATGACTGATGGGCCAGGGCACTAATTGAGATCACCAAAGGACTCGGGTAGCTCCTGTAGTACATCTAGTTCTGGGTGCTATAAATTTTGCAGCATGATAATGGGTGTATAAAATGAGTATATAAAAGTGTCGCTAGGCAGTGCTGCTGGAAATATCCAGCTAAATATAATAAAATGCATTTTAACACTAACAAATCATGAAAGCACACAAGGTGGTGTGGTATGAAGACTGTACAGTAGCATGTGGCCTCAGCATGCCATTCCCCCTCCCTGAGTCCAGTTTTGTCATCTGAAAGCCTTATGTTTGGTATGAATCCGATCCGAGTCCCTTCAGACATTTAAAGGGAAAATTTTCATTCATCGTCTTTCATACATGAGGTACCGTTCAAAGTACAAGTGTTAATGACTGTCTACTTAATCCTTCTGCTATAGCTATGATCCCTCACAAAATAGAACTCAAATGGCCACCAAAATACACTTCTTAATTTTTAAAGTAGTTAGAATGACATTTATCACTAAATAGAAATAGAAGCCTTTGCTCAGAATTTGTATCTTGATGGTTAAACTTGTTTCTATGGATTTTTGAAAGAAAAGGAAAATATGTAAGCAAATTAAAACATAGATACATTTAATCATATGGCAGTGATAAATAGGACAAAAATTAAAAGGAAGGATAAGAGTTAAGAAAATAGGACATCACTGATGAACTCTTAAATTCCAAGATTATAAGATTATAATTTATTTTACTCCTCTGGTCCTGAAAACCTGCTATATCTATAATTAACTCTTTGCCATCTCAGTGCCTAAAGTAAAATCTCCTACAGACTGACTGGAGTTAAGGCTGTGAGTAGGGAATGAATTGCTCACTTCAGGAACTCATATTCCTTGTAGCTTCAGGCCCTTGCTTAGCTTTAGGACTCTCAGTCGCCCAGGCCTTTTCTAGATCTGTTCCCAGTTTTATATTTCTAAGTCTGCATTGATTTTGTTAAAGAGGCCTCCCCTAGTTTTCAAAGTGTGACACCTAGCAAAACCTGGAGCCCTCCTGGTTTGTAGTAGATGTTTTTCAGAAATGATGAACTAACTGTAGGGTGAAATAGTGGAGGTAGCCAGGAAGTATATCTTTTTGAAGACAGGAAAGTCTGAGATGGCCAGAAACTTGAAAACAAGCAAACAAACGAACGAACGAACGAACAAAACATTATCCCCCTACGTTTCTCCTTTTCTGTGAAGTTGTGATCATGATATTGTTTCACTTTCTTCACACTATTTATTGGCTGGAATCGTTATTTATCTTTTCAGACACTGGTTTTTCAAGCTGTGAATGTATGGTGCTTAGAGGGCAAGAGTGGTAATCTAGTCCAAACTCTGGTCTTTCAAAAAAATCCAGAAGGAGCAAGGAGACAGGCACCTGGCTGCGTGGGAGGCTATTTAATTTTTAAAGAGTTTGTTGTCACATTCTCAAACCTTTCGATCTCAGCTATCATGACAGTAGCCAAATGACTGTTACCCAGTTGAGAAATGTAATAAATTTTTTCCTCAGGATTATTGTTGTTTGCATAGCTTTTAACATAGTTATTATAGCAATACTAAGAAGGAAATGTATTTTTTGATTTTTTGTTTATTTTTAATTATTATTGATACATGGTATTTGTACATGTTGGTGGGGTACATGTGATATTTTGTGACATGCAGACTGTGTAATGATCAAGTCAGGGTATTTGGAGTGTCATCATCTCAAATCTTTTGTTATTTCTATGTGTTTGGAACATTTCATGTCCTCTCGTCCAGCTCTTTTAAAATATCAACACACTGTTGTTAACTATAGTCAACCTACTCTGCTATTGA